GCGCTCGGGGCAGTGGGATGATCCGTCGGGAAGGCATTCGAAGCCGGTGATCTCAGGGAGCAGCAATGCGAGGGAGCTGCCAACGCGCTGCTGGAGCCCCGGGAGCGCCGCTTCCACAGGGAGAAATGTCCTTGTCCGTGCACGGAGCCGTAACCGGGCACTCGGAGTGGGGCTCCGGACAGGGGATGAGGGTGGGAATGATGCTTCCAGCTCATCCCTGCTCCCACTGCGAGCAGGGTGCGTGCCAAAGGGGTGCTGAACCCCCCAAACCCCTCCTGCTTCCCATCCCAAACAGCTTGCTGCGGGCACAGTGGAGGGGAGCACGGAATGAGTGTGAAATGCCTGAAACTTGGATTAGGATTTGTTTTCCTGGGTGGTTTTTTAAGGAATAAAGGAGTTCTGTGCTCTTGACCTTGCCCCCTCCACTGGGACGTGTCCTCTTCCCGATGCTGTTGAATGAAGCTGCCTTCCCATGCTCCGGGGTGTTGGATTTTCCCATCCCCTGGCTCTCTGCTGAATCAGGGATCTTAAGCCAAAACCAATAGAGAAAACAGGGAATTCCTGTTTCCGGAGTAGATTGATTGAATTAAAGCCATTTAAATCATTCCAGTGAATCTCCAGCTAAACCCTCCAATGAATCCCAGCCCGTAACCGTGGTGTTTGCCTGTTTTAATCAGTTCCTTATGGATACTACCAGGGAGCAGCGACCGGGATGTGCCCACATCCCAGCGCAAGGGATGGGAATCCCCTGAGGCCAACCGTGTGTCCCCAGAGGGGCCATCCCAATGCTGCAGGATACCCTGGACTCAATCCATGGATCCCTCCTCCACCTCTGGTGCTGAGGAGCCAAAGCAAAGCTGATCCAGTCTCCCTCTCCTGGAAAACCGGGATATTTCTGCATCATTTCAGCCTCTCAAGCACACAACACCCTTAAGGAGCTCTTTGCCGTGGTGCTTCCACGTTATTCCTCCAAAGGGAAGACAGCAGCACCCCAGTGGCACATGGGGTCTGGTGCTGGTGCCTGCCACATGGGGACCCCTCTTGGTGCTTCCTGACTGAGCTCATCCCTTAAATCAGTGCCGGGATCCGGCCTTGGGATGGATTCAGCCGCCGGGAGTTAAACACAAGCAGCTCCTGCCCATAAAAAGAAAAGGGCTTTGGGCTTGGAATCACGGAGCCGCGCACGCAAGCAGCGGGGAATGCTCCCGAAGGATGGGTGCTGGGAGAAGGGACCTGGCACCGGCCTCACAGCGGGGCTTCATCCCTGCCCTCCGAGGGGGAAACACGCTCAAAGCTTCACTTTGTGTGATTCCACTCTTTGGGAACACGGTCCTGCTGCCCAACACGCATCCCGGACCTGGGGTTAGGACTATGGAAGTGGTGGTGTCCATCTATTCATCAAGCGGGCCACAGATTCCTGCCTATCTCATGGCACTGGGGCAGAGCTGCTCCAGTCAGGGCACAGCCCAAACTGATGGTCCCTGGGAGCCGACTGGACATTCCCTCCTGGAATGGGGTGAGGAAACCAGGATCAGGACACCAAATCACCTGCAGAATCAGCATTGGGACCCACTGGAGGAGCCTGAATGAGGGGAAGGAAAAAAAGGAAGTCATTCCCATTGGAAAGCCACATGTTCCAGGCAGGAAGACGAACATCACCTCGCTGGAGACATGGCCCGGGAGATCAAATCCACACTTAAAGGGTTGGGTAAGGAGGTGTTTGCATGAGAACAAAGCCAATCCCACCGGTGACCATGTATCTACTGCACAGGAAAACGAGGTGCTGAGGTTCTCCTCATGGATCTCCTCATTGTCCTTGTCATTAGCACTGGGTGCAGTGCTGGTGTCCTCAGCATAAAAAGGACATGGAGCTGCTGGAGCAAATCCAGAGGAGGCCACAAGGATGCTCAGGGGCTGCAGCACCTCCTGTATGGAGACAGGCTGAGAACACTGGAGATGTTGAGCCTGGAGAAGAGAAGCTGTGTGGAGACCTCAGAGCAGCTTCCAGTGTCTGAAGGGGGCTCCGAGGATGCTGGGGAGGGACTCTTCATTTGGGACTGTAGTGACAGGACAAGGGGTGAGGGGTTCAAAGTGAAACAGGGGAAGTTCAGGTTGGAGATAAGGCAGAAGTTCTTCCCTGTGAGGGTGCTGAGGCGCTGGCACAGGGTGCCCAGAGAAGCTGTGACTGCCTCATCCCTGGCAGTGTTCAAGGCCAGGTTGGACACAGGGGCTTGGAGCAAGCTGCTCTAGTGGAAGGGTTGGAACTGGGTGAGCTTTAATGTCCCTTCCAACACAAACCATTCTGTGATCCGTCCTTTCCTCTTCTCCTTCATTCACCACCCACAACGCCCTCAAGCACTTCCGATGTCCCCAGGATCCATCCTTCTGTCCACCCTTAGGTTGATCTCCACCAGCCGGACGGCACGGAGCAGGACAGCGACCTGGGAGCAGGCATGGGCCAGGATGTCCATGAGGGGATCCCCCAGGTCCTGGAGGCCACGGAGGAGCTGGAGCAGGAACAGCAGCAGTGGCTGCAGGAGGCTGCTGAACGTGGCCACCAGGAGGGGCTTCAGGACGTGGTCACCAATGGCTGTCACCAGCCCCACCAGCAGCACCTGCAGAGAGGGGGGTTTGGGTTGAAATACTTGGGTTTGGGGGGTATTTGGTGGCTTTTGGTGGCCTGAGGCGTGGTGGGGACACTGTGAGGAGCAAGTTAATGGCAAGGACCTCCCCAGTCTTCTGAGAGACACCAAAACCGAGACCAAGAGGCAAGAATCTCACTATGGGAGAAGATGGAGGTAACTGAAGAACATGCAGCTTCTCCTCCCAAAACTGGAGTGTTCTGACATGGAAATACCCACAGGAAAGGAAGGAGAAGGTTCGTCCTCAGGGTGGTCACCACCCCTCATCACCTCCTTTTGCCTTGTCCCCACTGAGCCACCCCAGACCGGGCATATCAATGGTGGGATGGTTCCTGGTTTCGTGATGTCACCGGGGGGGTTGGAGAGGAAACCTTCTGGGGCAGCCTCAAACACGGTTCCCGTTGCACCCAACCTGCTCAAGGCCAGGCTGGACACAGGGGCTTGGAGCAACCTGCTCTAGTGGAAGGTGTCCCTGCCCATGGCAGGGGTTGGAACTGGAGGAGCTTTAAGGTCTCTTCCATCCAAAACCGTTCCATGATTCCACCATCAACCATTTTGTCTTTCTGGCCTTGGGGCTTTGGGTTTCTTTAGAGAACAAGCCCATAAACATCTCCACGCTGAGCCTGAGCTTCAACAAGCCGCAGATCATCAAGGCAAAGGGGACTGATGGATAAAACTCAACAGAGATTCAATAAGATGGAGGAGCCTCCATTTGAGGCTGGAGGGACCAAGTTCTCACCTGGACCACGGATTCACCAAGGAACCGAACCAGCTCGAGCAAGAAGGCAGCGAAACCATTGACCAGAAGCCGTGGGATGGCGAAGCATTCCCTCAGCTTGTGCTGAAGCATCTGCTTGGAGCTGTCATGGAGAGAAGGAGACGTGAACCCACGGAATGAATGGAGCCCAGGACAGCAGCGGTCTTGAGGAGCACTTGGATGTCACAGAAGCCTGGAATGGTTTGTGTTGGAAGGGACCTTAAAGCTCCTCCACTTCCAACCCTTTGCCATGGGCAGGGACACCTTCCACTAGAGTAGCTTGCTCCAAGCCCCTGTGTCCAACCTGGCCTTGAACACTGCCAGGGACGGGGCAGCCACAGCTTCTCTGGGCACCCTGTTGTCTCACCAGTGCACACTGGAGCATCTCCCACCCAAGCTGGTTTTGAACCATCCTGGAGGCACCATCCCCAGTGCTGCGGGACCTGGATAATGATGGGATGCCTGGAAAACCCCCTGGAAGAGAGGTGTTTCTCATCCTGCATCCAGCTCTGGGGCAGCAGCACAAGAGGGACGTGGAGCTGTTGGAGCAAGTGCAGAGGAGGCCATGGAGATGCTGCGAGGGCTGGAGCAGCTCTGCTCTGGAGCCAGGCTGAGAGAGCTGGGCTGGGTCAGCCTGGAGAAGAGAAGGCTCCTGAAGGGGACACCTGAGAGCAGCTCCAGTGCCTAAAGGGGCCAGGTTGGACGGGGCTTAGTGGAAGGAGGCCATCAAATCCGGGATGAGAAGGAGCCAAAGGGGGTGTCTTACCGCCCTTTAATTAACTGATGATTCAGTAACTCCGTGCCCTGAGGCACCCGCCGCATTCCCGGAGGTGGGAATGCCGCGCGCTCCCTCTCACGGCCGCCGGGAGAGACTGAACCGAGATTTCCCCTGCCATGAATACAAACAGGGCTGGAAAACGCTGGGAGGGGGGAACCGGTGCCGGGTCGGGAGCAGAACACGCTCTTGGGGACGGTTTCCGTTCCCGGTGGATGGAGCGAAGGGGGAAGCGTTTCCTCTGGGATTTCATGCGGATAACCCCAAAATACTTTTTTTTTCCCCGAAAATAAGAAAATGAAAAGGAAAGTGAACTCTCTGCACTTCCCGGAGCGGGTGGGAACGGGGGTGGGGAGGGGGAAACCCCCCGCCCGTCCCGTTTCCTTCCCCTTTCCCCAACCCTCTGCCCGGAAGCACCTAAAAATACGTGGAAAAGCCCCAGATTTGCAAGTTAAAACCGCGGTTCTCCCCAGAAGGGGAAGCGCGCCCGGCCCCGCACCACGTCACCCCCAGCGCCCCCCCCCCGGGACACCCCCGGTACCGGTCTTGGGGTCTGCTCCAGGGGCCGGGACGGGGGGAACCGGCGGGGGCCCCAACAGCATCGCGCTGACGCCGACGGCGGCGTGGCGCGCCATGAGCCATGAGGGGGGGCGCGCCACTGGCTAAGCCACGCCCACACGGCGAGGCCACGCCCATCATGCGCATGAAACCACGCCTACCACTTGAAAGCGTATTCATAACCCAAGCCACGCCCATCACGTTGCCAGGCAACAGCCCCCGCTGATGGGCGGGGCTAAGGGGTAAAGACACGCCCACGGGTGCGTGACAGCGAGAGCAGCCAATGAGAGCAGAGGGAGAGGCCCCGCCCTCGCCCCGCGCCGCGCCCACGCGGAAGCGCCGAGCAGCGGCAGCGAGCGCGGGCTGGAGCGCGGTGAGTCCCGGAGCCGGTTCCGACGGGTGGGACCGTGTGTGACCGTTTGTGACCGTGTGTGACCGTGTGTGACCGTTTGTGTCCGTGTGTGACCGTTTGTGACCGTGTGTGACCGTTTGTGACCGTGTGTGACCGTTTGTGATCATGTGTGACCGTGTGTGTGTGTGTGACCGTGTGTCCATGTGTGTCCATGTAACCGTGTGTGTCTGTGTGTGACCATCTGTGATCATGTGTGTGACCGTGTAACCATGTGTGTCCGTGTGTCTGTGACCATCTGTGTGACCGTTTGTGATCATGTGTGTGACCGTGTGTGACCATTTGTGTCCGTGTGTGTCCATGTGTGACCATCTGTAATCATGTGTGTGACCGTGTGTGTGTGTGTGACCGTGTAACCATGTGTGTCCGTGTGTCTGTGACCATCTGTGTGACCGTTTGTGATCATGTGTGTGACCGTGTGTGACCGTTTGTGTCCGTGTGTGTCCATGTGTGACCGTCTGTGATCATGTGTGTGACCGTGTGTGTCCATGTGTGACCGTGTAACCGTGTGTATCCGTGTGTCTGTGACCACCTGTGTGACCGTTTGTGTCCGTGTGTGTCCATGTGTGACCATCTGTGATCATGTGTGTGACCGTGTGTGTCCATGTGTGACCGTGTAACCATGTGTATCCGTGTGTCTGTGACCACCTGTGTGACCGTTTGTGATCATGTGTGTGCCCGTGTGTCTGTGTCCATGCCCTGTGTCCCAGTCCCATATCCCCATATCCTCATGTCCCCATATCCCCATGTCCCATATCCCATGTCCATGTCCCCATTACCATGTCCCACGTTCATTTCCCCACACGCACATCCCATATTCCATGCCCGTGTCCCCATGTCCCATGCCCATATATCCCCACACCCCCTTGTCCCCCATCAGTTTCGTTTCTCTGCAGCAGCTGCAGGTTCTGCTTTCGGGTGCTGGCTCACGCGCGTGCCCCCACCCATGCCATGAGCTGCCCAGGCCTCAGCCCTCACACACGTGTCACAGGGCACATGGGCCTCAGCACCTCGTACCCCCGCACACACACCTCACAACCCAGCCAGGCTTCAGCCCCTCACACGTGTCATGAGCCACGTGGGCTCAGCCGCTCGTGCACACACACACACACACACACACACACACATTGCACACACACATTGCACACACACACATTGCACACACACACACACACACACACGTGTCATGAGCTGGCAGAGCCTCAGCCCCTCATTCGCACCTGTCACAAGTTAGCCAGGTCTCAGACCCTCACCCATGTCCCACAGCTGTGTCCTGTGTCCCTTAGCCTGTTATCCTGTATCCGTTAGCCCGTGTTATCCCATGTCCTGTGTCCCTTAGCCCATGTTATCCTGTGTCCTGTGTCCCTTAGCCTGTGTTATCCCATGTCCTGTGTCCCTTAGCCTGTTATCCTGTATCCATTAGCCCATGTTATCCTGTGTCCTGTGTCCCTTAGCCCGTGTTATCCCATGTCCTGTGTCCCTTAGCCCATGTTATCCTGTGTCCTGTGTCCCTTAGCCTGTGTTATCCCATGTCCTGTGTCCCTTAGCCCATGTTATCCTGTGTCCTGTGTCCCTTAGCCTGTGTTATCCCATGTCCTGTGTCCCTTAGCCTGTTATCCTGTATCCGTTAGCCCATGTTATCCTGTGTCCTGTGTCCCTTAGCCCGTGTTATCCTGTGTCCTGTGTCCCTTAGCTCGTGTTATCCTGTGTCCTGTGTCCCTTAGCCCATGTTATCCCCTGCCCTGTGTCCCTTAGCCCGTGTTATCCCATGTCCTGTGTCCCTTAGCCTGTTATCCTGTGTCAGTTAGCCCATGTCCTGTGTCCCTCAGCCCATGTTATCCCATGTCCCTTAGCTCATGTTATCCCATGTCCCTTATCCCATGTTATCCCGTGTCCCTCAGCCCATTATCCCATGTTCCTTAGCTCATGTTAACCTCTGTCCCTCAGCCCATGTTATCCCATGTCCCTTATCCCACATTATCCCGTGTCCCTCAGCCCCCGTTATCCCATGTCCCTTAGCTCGTGTTAACCTGTGTCCCTTATCCCACATTATCCCATGCCCCTTAGCTCGTGTTAACCTGTGTCCCTTAGCCTGTGTTATCCCATGTCCCTCAGCCCATGTTATCCCATGTCCCTTATCCCACATTATCCCATGTCCCTTAGCCTGTGTTAACCTGTCCCCCTCAGCCCATGTTATCCCATGTCCCTTATCCCACATTATCCCATGTCCCTTAGCTCGTGTTAACCCGTGTCCCTCAGCCCATGTTACCCCTGTCCCTCAGCCCCCATCACCCCACGGGATGAGCGCCCCTCCGCGCCGCGTGCGGCTGCGGCCCTGGCTGGAGGCGCAGGTCAGCAGCCGGCGCTTCCCGGGCCTGCGCTGGCTCGACCCCGGGCGCCGCCGCTTCGCCATCCCCTGGAGACACGCGACCCGCGGCCCCCCGGAGCCCCCCGACCAGCACAGCATCTTCAAGGTGAGCGGCGGGGGCACGGGGGTGACAACGGGGACACATGGGCGGATACGTGAGGGAGGCGATGGGGTGAGAAGGGGACATAGGGTGACAATGGGGATGGGGGATAGGGGTGACAAGAGGGACATGGGGGACGTGGGCTGGGGGTAGTGGAGGGACAATTGGGATGTGGGGTACAAGACGGAGGTGATGACATAGGCTAGGAATGATGGGGTGACATGGAGAATGGGGTGATGAGGACATGGTAGATGAGGAGATGATGGGGTGACATGGGAAACAGGGAATAGGGGTGATAGTGGGAACCCAGGATTGGGTGACAGGGAAGATGGGGTGACAAGGGGGACGTGGGGGACACAAGATGGAGGTGACGGGGTGGCAAGAGGGACACAGAACGGGGGTGATGGGATGACCAGGGGGATGTGGGATGACAGCGAGGGGGTGATGAGGAAGAGGTGGGAGATGGGGGTGATGGGATGAGAAGGGAACTCGGGCCGGGGGTGCAGGCACTATGGGGTGACCATGGGGACCCGGCATGTGGGTGCAGGCGCTATGGGGTGACCGTGGGGACCCGGCATGTGGGTGCAGGCGCTATGGGGTGACAGTGGGGCTCCGCAGGCGTGGGCACAGGAGACAGGGCGGTTCCGGGAGGGGCAGGACGAGCCAGACCCCGCCAAGTGGAAGGCAAACCTGCGCTGCGCACTCAACAAGAGCCGTGACTTCCGCCTCCTCTTCGATGGCACCAAAGCGGTGCCGCTGCGGCCCTACAAAGTCTATGAGCTCTGTGACCGGCCCCCCCGTGGCACCGGTAACGGGGGACAGGGGGAACTGGGGGTTTTGGGGCATCCCGGGGCGGGGGGGCAGCACCACACAAGGAGGCAGCACCCTCTGAAGCTCCAGCACCCCATAAGGATGCAGCACCCCATGAGTCCCTCACACCCCATAAAGATCCAGTACCCCATGAGTCCCCCACATCCCATAAAGACCCAGCACCCTACAGTACCCCAGCACCCCAGGACGCTTCAGGTGCCCCATAGTGACCTGACACCCCATGAATCCCCTACACCCCAAGAGGCTTCAGCACCCCAAAAAGCTTCAGCACCCCACAAGGACCCCACATCCTGCGGTGCCCTAGCACCCCATAGGGACCCAGGACCCCTCAAAGCCCCTGCACCCCAGAAGGCAGCATAACCCTATGAAGCTCCAGCAAACCACAAGTCCCTGGCACCCCATGAGGTCCCAGCACCCTACAAGTCCCCAGCACCCTGTGGAGCCTCAACACTCCACAAGTCCTTAGCACCCCACAGCTCCCCCTGCACCCCAAAATGCCCCAGCACCCTATAACCCTCCTGCACCCTAAGCCCCCCCCATCCATCTCCCCTTGCAGATGGGGGGCCTGAGGACGACTACGACTATGCTGAGGAGGAGGAAGATGTCAACCAGGTACCTGGTGATGAGGTGTCAGGGTGGGGGGACCCCAAAGTGGGGACCCGTTGGGGGTGTCCCTGCACCCCAAATCCCCATAACCACCCGTTGTCCCCCTGCAGCTGCAGATGACAGCTCTGAGCATCAGTGGTGAGTGGGGGCAATGGAGGGACATGGGGAGCATCAATGGGACCATGGTCACCCTCTGACCCCTGCTCTGTGCCCTAGATACCCATCACAGGGGGGGGGACCTCCTGCCCCCTTTCAGCAGTGGCTGCTCCATGGGACCCTTCTTGCCACCCCCCCTGGCTGCGGAGCTGGGGAGCACGCATGGGACCCTGGTGGAGTTAGGGGGTGCTCACGGGACCCCCAAGCTGCCCCCCCTGGGGCCGCCACCTGCCTGCCCACTGGAGCCACCCCTGGAGGACCCCATCCCCAACCTGCTCATCAGCCCCCACATGCTGCCACGTGAGGACAGGGGCACTGGGGGGTGGCCATGGGCATGGGGTGACAATGGGTTGGCCACGGGTGGGACTGGCTATAGGGCGGATGGTTGGAGGTGGCCATGGAAGTGCTTGGAGGTGGATGGTTGTGGGTGTGGGGTAGTTGGATGGAGGTGGCCATGTGCATGGGGTGGCCATGGAGTGGCCATGGAGTGGATAGATGGAGGTGGCTGTAAGTGTGGGATGGCCATAGGGTGGCTGGTTGTAGGTGGCCATAGGTGTGAGGTGGTTGCATGGAGGTGACCATGGGTGGTGGGTGGCCATGGGGCAGCTGAAGGAGGTGGCTGTAAGCGTGGGGTGGCCATAGGTGGAAGGTTGCCATGGCTTGTCTGGAGGTGGTAGCCACGGGGTGGCCACGTGTATGGCGTAGTTGGATGGAGATGGCCATTGGTGTGGGGTGCCTATGGGTGGCAGGTTGCCATGGGGTGCCTGGAGCCGGTGTCCATGGCTGCGTGTGCCCATGGCTTGCTCCCCACCCCTCACCTCTGCGTGGCCCCGGCAGTGACAGACCTGGAGCTGCAGTTCCAGTACCGCGGGCGCCAGGTCTGCGTGCTCACCGTCAGCAACGCGCAGGGGTGCCGCCTGTTCCACGGCAGCCTGGAGCCCAGCGCCGCGCAGGAGGAGCTCTTTGGGCCGCCGGCGCTGGAGCAGGTCCGGTTCCCGGCCACCGACGCCATCCCCAACGAGAAGCAGCGCTTCTACACGCACCAGCTCCTGGACGCGCTGGACCGCGGCCTCATCCTGGAGCTGCAGGGCCAGGATCTCTTTGCCACGCGCCTCTGCCAGTGCAAGGTGTTCTGGACGGGGCCCTGCGCCACGCACCGCGCCGGCCCCAACCCCATCGAGAGGGAGAAGAAGACCAAGCTCTTCAGCCTCGAGGGGTTCCTCAACGGTGGGAGGAGAATGGGGCTACGTGAGGATGTTGGGGGAGATGGGGGGGACACGAGGTGGCACATGGGGATGTGGCGGGATGAGGTTGTGATGGGGAGATAGGGCCATGGTGGGACCAGCTTGGAATGGGGGACACCAGGTGGCCCATAGGGATGTGGTAGGAGCAGACTGGGATGAGAGAACACCAGGCAGAACATGGGAATATGGTGGGACCAGGTTGGGATAGGGGACACCAAGTGGCAGACAGGGATTTGGTGAGACCGCGTTGGGACAGTGGGACACCAGGTGGCCCATAGGATGTAGTGGGACCAGACTGGGATGGGAGGACACCAGGCAGGATATGGGGATGTGGTGGGACACCACATGGCATACAAGGATGGGGTGGGACAAGGTTGAGATGGGGGACAACAGTGAGGATGGTGGTGGGATCGGGTTGGGATGGGGAACACCAGGCAGCACGTAGGGACGTAGTGACACCAGTATGGGATGGGGGACATGAGATGGCACATAGGGATGTGGTGGGACCACAGTGGGATGGGGAGACACCAGGCAGCATGTGGGAATATGGTGGGGCACCATCTGGCACACAGAGGCGTGGTGGGATCGGGTTGGGATGGGGTACATCAGGCAACACATGGGGCCATGGTGGGACCAGGTTGTAATGGAGGACACCGGTGTGGATGGTGTTGGGACCAGGTTCGGAGGGAGGACACCAGGCAGCACATGGGGATGCGGTGGATCCAGGTTGGCTTGGGGGCCACTATGTGTCACACAGCGATGCGGTGGGACAAGGCTGGAATGGGGAACACCAGGCAGCACAAAGGGACATGGTGGGACAAGGCTGGGATAGGAGCACACCACCAGAGATGCTGGTGGGACGCACCGATGGGATGTCCCATCCTGCCCCTCACCACGGTGCCCAACCCCTGCAGGCCTCATCCTCTTCCAGAAGGGCCAAACCACCACCCCCCCACCCTTTGAGATCTTCCTGTGCTTTGGGGAGGAGTGGCCGGACCAGAAGCCCAAGGAGAAGAAGCTGATCACGGTGCAGGTGAGGGGCCGGGAGGACACGGGGGGGGTCCCGGGGTCGCACCGTGCTGACCGTGGTGGTGATTCCCAAGGTGGTGCCAGTGGCGGCGCGGCTGCTGCTGGAGATGTTCTCGGGGGAGTTATCCTGGTCGGCCGACAGCATCCCGCTCCACATCTCCCATCCGGACCTCAAGGACAAGATGGTGGAACAGTTCAAGGAGCTTCACAAGCTTTGGCAGAGCCAGCAGCGGCTGCCACCACCACCACCACCACCACCGGTGATGGCACAACCAGCGTCTGGCCCCGCCGCTGGTACCTGGGTGCTGCCCCAGTGATGTGGAGGGACACAGGGAGGTGGGAAGCACCACCATGAAGGCCTTTGGGGTGGTGACCCTCCATCCTGGCACCATCCAGGGCGATGGAGCTGGGCCACCCATCCCGATCCCTTGGGTGCCACCACCTCCTTGGTGCAGCGTGGAGGTGGGATGAGGCCACGCTGGACCTGGAACCCCCTCAAGCTGGAGTTGTGGCCACCAGCTCAAGCTCCTCAATGAGGAAGCTCCCATGAGCTTGGAGAGAAGACCCAGGGCGGGATTTGGGGTTTTCAGTTCTCTTTGTTCCAGGTTTTTTGTGGTTTTTATTGTTCTCGAGATGGCTACAACACCCCTGGAGGGCCCAGCATGCGCCCCAGCCCCGGCCCCGCGCGCAGCTCCACCCCGCCATGAAACCCAGAGAACCCCAAATCAAACCAAAGAAAACCCCAAAACAAGAAAAAAAAACCCCAAAATAGAATATATATTTCAAGAGTCTGGCCTGCCTGCGTCTTCTCCAGGAGGTCACCACCAGGCAGGACGCGGCAGCGCAGGGAGGACCGAGCCGTGGCCTTCCACTAAACCTACTTTAAACCCTGACCTTGTCTCAAATAATGCTCAATTCTTGCTTTTCTTGGTCATTTTTTGCTGCTTTTCCAATTTTTTTTTGGTGTGTCTCCATAGCACAAAGTTCTTCCTCTTCGTGCTCTTCTACCGAGCGAATCCGTTTCCCTCTGGTTGGTGTTTTGGTGGTGAGGGGTTGGTTGAGCTGGTTGTTGAGTTGAGCTGGTCGTCGAGTTCAGTTGGTTGCTCTGTTGGTTGTGTGGTTGAGTCGGTTGGGTTTGTTGAGTTGACTGGTTGACTTGGTGGTTGAGTTGGCTGGGTTGAGTTGATTGGTTGGTTGAGTTGGGCTGGTTCATTGGTTGAGCGGTTGACTGGGTTGGGTTGAACTGTGGTTGAGTGGTTGGTTGGTTGGGTTTTCTTCTCCCCTCCCTATTGTTTGGTTTCTCGTTTCGGGAGCCGACCTTCAGGAAGTGAATCCGCCGGGATACTCGCGCTGTCCTCCCGCCAGCTACAGGCAGTGGAAGAGCCCCGTGGCCACGATGAACTTTGCTGATGGTGGGACACATTCTTGGGGTTTTCTTTGTTTCCTGTCTTTGAATTCGAAGACATTCCTGGGCATGTTGGGAAGAGAAAGGCAAGTCCCTCTTCCCATCTGCCTCTTCTGGGTTGGCACAGCACCATGGATGTGACCAGCACCCACTTGTGGTCTCACTGGTGGCTCTTACCTGGGAGACAGGCGCCATGCCGGAGCTATCGGAACAGGCGGGTGAAGTCCCTCAGAGCCCAACACACTTGTCTACATTCCTCACCGCTGCAAGACAATGGGCAGGACATCAGGGAGACATCATGGGGTGATGTTAAGGGGATATTTGGGAAGTGGGAATGGTGTCCTGCACCCGGCATGGGACGTCTTGAGGGTACACGATAGTGACCAGGAGCATGGCAGTTTGGCACTGGGATGGTGGGCAATGGCAAATGTTGGATTTGTGGTCAAAAGCCCCCATGACCATCACTGGAGGGGACACATAACACGAACCCAGCTCTGAAGGGCTCATAAGACCAGATAAACATGCTCAGTGATGGAAAGGGCAACATTGTGCCCCTCAAAGCAAGGCTTTGGGAGTGTTCAAGGCCAGGTGGAACGGGGCTTGGAGCAACCTGCTCTAGTGGAAGGTGTCCCTGCCTGCGTCAGAGGGTTGGAACTGGATGTTTTAAAGTCCCTTCCAATCCAGCCCATCCCATGACTCTCACCTCGTGACCTGCTTGTGGAAGTCCGTGAGCTGTTTGTGTGTAACCTGGATGGCTCCTCCCGTCGTTTCCTTTGGTAGACCCTTCAGTGAGTTCTCCAGCCAGCGACAGAAGGTCTGCAGGAAGCAGGACATAACTGAGGCTATGGAGCCACAGCCAGCTCCTGCATCCTGGTTTGGGGAAGTTTTGGGATCCATCCATGCCCGTCACCACCTCCCCATGCTGTCCCCTCACCGGCCGGTCGATCTGCATGATCTCCCAGAGCACCTCGGCGACGTCAGGCAGGGTATAGGGTGGGAGGCAGAAGCAGCACGTGTGCAGGAGCTGGTTGACAAGCTGCTGGCCCAGTTGGTTCATCACCTGGTTGATGAGCTCCTTTCGCACTTCAAAGTCTTCCTCATGCTGCGGGAGGAAGGAGAAAGGGGGTGAGAAGAGCCTGGGGATGGGGACACGGTGCTCCTTGCTTGATGGCTTGGCTACAGCAGTGGGACAACGCTCATGGGGGACCACAATGGCAAAGGATGATGAGAATGGCATTCCAGCTCCATGGAGGAAGACCTTCCCCACTGAGGAACACAACTCACATCATTGGCCACCCCGGTGTGGATGAGATCCCGTAGGAACTTCATAACGCTGCAGTTGGCATCCCGGTGATCCAAGGTGGTGGCAGCAATGGCCCATTGCAGGATGGGGATCATCACTTGGCTCCGTAGCAAGGTGACAGGGCTGCGCTGGATAAACCTGGCCAGGAAGAGCACACACAGTCACCACCACCCTGCCCATCCCCAGGAGAAGGCAGGACCTTCTCCCACTCTATGACTGCCCCCATGGGTGCTTGAGGACCAAAGCTGGGGTGTCCCGGTGCAGCAGAACGTGGTTACCTGGCTGCTAGTCGAAAGAGGTCATCCACGGTGTCGGGGTGGTTCTGAAGGCCGTTGGGTTGCTCTAGGAGTTGGAAGGTAGGGATGCACAGAGCCTAGGACAAGGGTTGTGGGGAATCCATTAGTTGGGATTACACACCAAACTGCTCTGATCTCTCTGACAGGGAGATGTCCAGCATGGACCACAACAGAGTGGATCAGGCCCTGGGTTCTCCCAACAGCCACCATTTACATTGGATATTAGGAATTCCTTCACCCAAAGGGCTGTCCAGCATTGAAAGAGGCTGCCCATGGCAGTGGTGGGGTCATCATCCCTGGAGGGGTTTAAGAGACGAGTAGATGTGGCACTTGGGGACATGGTTTAGTGGTGGGCTGGGTTAATGGTTGGACTCAATGGTCTTAAAGATCTTCTCCACTCTGTCCACTGGGTGGTTGAGGTGGGAACCCACCTGCAGCATGTCGAGCAGCCCCTGCCTGCAGCCTTCCTCCATGCCGTACTCGTCCACCAAGATGCTGCCCAGGTAGAGGAAACAGGAGTGCTGGTGGGCCCTGTAGACATTCACCATCTGTGGGGAGACACAGGAGACACTCCATGGTGAACCATGGGAGGATGAAGCCATCTGGTGACCTCCCAGCATCTCGAACAGGATCTCCATGATGTTCCCACCATCTCCCTTGAGAAAATCCAGCTCTTGTTGAGCACCAAGACAACATCCCAGCTTGAAAGACCTTCCCCCAGCCCCATGGGATGGTCTGAAGTACTTGCTCTGGTCTCAATCTGGTCCTTCAGAGCACCTCCATTCTGCAGCTCCCAAAGCCAACACAGCTTCTCCTTGCTTTTCACCCTTCCTTAGCCCCATGGAAGCACAAAGAGGACACCCAATGTCGGACTGAAGAGTCACCTCTTCAAGGAGCCTCACCGTATGGAGTTTCACACATACCTTTCAAATCACAGCTACACCTACAGGGCTCCAGCCTACAGAGCTCCAGGCAGAGCTCAGCTCTTTCCTGCAGCTAAAAGGCTCTCTCTGCTCCTCAAGGATTTATGTAGGAGCTTCCCAAGACCACCAGCATCTACCACAGCCTGGCCATGCACCACTGTGTGACCAGCTGCCCACACGACCAACTGGAGACTGGTAACAACTGATGTCCCTAGGGGGTTCGTGTTGGACTAATCCTGTTCAACATCTTTGTCGTGACATGGACAATGGGATCAAGCAGCCTCAGTGAGTTTGTGATGACACCAAGCTGTGTGGTGTGGTCAACGTGCTGGAGGGAAGAGATGGGATCTAGAGGGACCTGGACACACTTGAGATGTGGCCAGTACTTGAGCTCAGAGTCCCCTATGTGCTGGGCTGCATCAAAAGGAGTATGAGCAGCAGGTTGACGGAGGGGATTCTGCCCCTCTGCTCTGGTGAGACCCCACTTGCAGCACTGTGTGCAGTGCTGGTGTCCTCAGCATCAGAAGGACATGGAGCTGTTGGAGCAAATCCAGAGGAGGCCACAAGGATGATCAGGGGCTGGAGCAGCTCCTGTATGGAGACAGGCTGAGAACACTGGGGCTGTTCAGCCTGGAGAAGAGAAGCTGCGTGGAGACCTCAGAGCAGCTTCCAGGGCTACGAGGATGCTGGGGAGGGACTCTTCATCAGGGACTGGAGTGATAGGACATGGGGTGATGGGTTCAAACTGAAACAGGGGGAGTTCAGGCTGGAGATAAGGCAGAAGCTCTTCCCTGTGAGGGTGCTGAGGCGCTGGCACAGGGTGCCCAGAGAAGCTGTGGCTGCCCCATCCCTGGCAGTGTTCAAGGCCAGGTTGGACACAGGGGCTTGGAGCAAGCTGCTCTAGTGGAAGGTGTCCCTGCCCGTGGCAGGGGGTTGGAATTGGAGGAGCTTTAAGGTCCCTTCCAACACAACCCAGTCTGGGATTCTGTTGTTCTAAGAGGTTTCTGGATGCAACCCCCAAGCCAGGGGTGTTGGGGGGGAGAAGAAGGTGCTGAGGAGGTGGTGTCCATACCTGGGTGACGAGGGGCTGCAGCAGGGCAGCAGAGCCTTTGCCCACGCAGCGCACGGCAAAGCGCAGGCAGCGGCAGCACCGCTCCACGATGCGGTTATCGGCACTGTGCTTGTTCAGGGTCTCCGACAGCACGGGCCAGATCTGGGGGTGGGGACATGGGAGAGGGGTTAAAGCTCAACCTGGTACATGGGGTATCCCCATCACGTCACCCTCATCCCTGTACCCTCACGTAGATGCCACTCGTGTCCCAAACCGAGGGGCACCTCTGTTCTGGGACACATAAATCAGCTTTATGGAGGAGTAAGAACCTCAAGAGTAGGTTAACACCTCCAGTGCTCCAAACCTCACAAGAGAAGGGACGTTAAAGAACCTGGGACATTCCCAGGGTCAGGTGGGGTTTGAAGACCCAAATCCCTGCTTCCAGGAGGGAAGGGGCTCCACCAGCAGCTCCTCTCCCCAATACAGAGGTGATGTTGGAGACTTCCATCCATCCCCCTGTGGAAATTCCTTCCCCAAATCCATCCCCAGCAGCACTTACTTCCTGAATGACTTTTTGGCACGGATGGATCTGTCCATTTTCTACAATGGGGTTGGTGTGTCTGTGGAAAGGAGTGAAGATTCCATGTTATCTTTATCAAACGCGTGGGTTTGGTGGCCAGAAGATGGGTTTGGAGCCCCAAGCACCCACCAAGGCTGCTGGAAAAGGACCAAAAACTGCCTTAGAGGGTCTGGAAAACCTTCAACCTGGTAAAGAAGGCCATAAGAAGAAGAACTCCGTTCTTTTTGGGTCTAGAAGGAAATGAGCCACCACTAACTGGGTTTAAGTCCTGGGACGGTCAGGTTGGACTCACAACTCATGTCCCAGCCCCTTGTTCCTTACCTAAATATGACAGCGAGTCGATCCAGGGGCACAGTAGGGTCTGAGGAGAGGCCATTGCTTGGCTCCTGAGAGAGCAGCTGGAAAACAAGGGAAAATAATGGGATCTGGGGACTTTGGGCAGCCCCACTCCAAATGAAGACTGAATAAACACTGCCTGGCACCAGAGCCCACCAGCAGCACCTTCACATCTCCTCTGGACCCGAGCAGAGCAGACAGCTCCTCAGCCCTTACCCAGGCAGCTCCTAGCCTCAGCCACATGCATGAGGTTATTCTGAAAGCTCAGAGCAGCTTCTTTTCACCTCCTCCCCATTCAGAACCTATTCAAAGGGGTCTCTGAAGGAGAATGGAGAAGAACCAAGGTGGAAGAGAAGCCTGGGAGCTGCTAGGAGCGGGCAGGAGCTCTGCGGAACCCCTCTTGTGCAGCTCCAGGTCACCCTGAAAAGACACAGGATGGACACATCCCTTTTCTTGACGCTTCCCTCCCTCTTCCTTGCCATTATCTGAGATTTCTACTCTGTTATCGTGGATCTGCACGGAAGTGTCACTAAGGGCTACCATGTTTTGGCGACAGGCGGAATGTGACCTTCTGGGACTATGTGTGCAACAGGGGGGTCAAATTCCCATGTCCATCCTGGAGATGCAGGGTAAATAAGAGCTGCCAACTGCATTCAAGGTAGCTTCAGGAAGGCTTTTTGGCTTCTAGCACCTAAACTGACGTCTAGGGACTATTTTCTTCTCATTTAACCCATCCCATGCTCTTCCAGCTATATAGTTCTCATCCAGAAGAGACTTAGGGACAAGTTTGGTCTCAGTTCTGGTCTCCTCATACACCTCTGACTTTGAGGACACACAACTGCTGCAGCAGATCAAGCCACCAGGCAAAGATGGAACCACAGCAACTTGATGGTCTCCATCCATCCCACCCAAACCAGTGATGGACAAGGAGCAGGTCAAGGTAGCTCCAACCAGGATATACCTTCCTGAGCGCCATCACTTGCACGGCACAGAGTTCACTGAGGCATTCTGCTATCTTCTCCAAGGGGAGCCTGGCCAGGACCAAGGCTGTCCCTGCAAGGCAAGACAAGACAGGCTCAAGGAGCAGGAATGCAATGTGGGAATGTGGCTGGGGAAACACAGCATGAGGGAGGTTCTCAAACAGCTCTAGGGAAAATCTTCCTGAGACTGAAACATGCTTCTGTGCAGCCTGTTCTTGGATGGAACCAGACACCAAAATACCTCTGTAGGGTGAGAAGAAGGAAGGGAATCTGGAATGTGGGAGAATTCGAATGATCCTTGACAGGACAAGAGGAAATGGCTTTAACCTGCCAGAGGGGAGACTCAGATGAGCTCTTAGGCAGAAGCTCTTCCCTGTGAGGGTGCTGAGGCGCTGGCACAGGGTGCCCAGAGAAGCTGTGGCTGCCCCATCCCTGGCAGTGTTCAAGGCCAGGTTGGACACAGGGGCTTGGAGCAAGCTGCTCTAGTGGAAGGTGTCCCTGCCTGTGGCAGGGGTTGGAAGTGGATGAGCTTTAAGATCTCTTCCAACACAAACCATTCCAGGATTCTATGATTTCAAAGTGTTTTCCTCTTACATTTCAAGTTCAGAGCAGGGATGGAGATAGATAATAAACCCATGAAGTGTCTTTTCTACCTCCTAACCGAAGAGAAGACTAAAGGGGACACATGGGGTGCCTCAGGACAAGCTGAGCCACTCTCATCGAAGAAAACCCATGTGAAAACAGGCTTGACCCCCAAAATACCCCCAGCTTGATGTGCTCACCCTTGAGGAGCCCCACAGCAGCCTCTGGGGAGAGCGTGAAGGAGTCGAGGGACCGGGCGATCTCCAGCAGCCCATTGAAGTGCTGAGCCATGTGGTCCCGGCACACGGAGCAGATGTTGTGGATGGCCTTGGCCGCCGCTGAAGCCAACCTCCTGTCACACAGCCCCTTCATCAGGTACCCCAGCACGGGATCTGCAGAGGGAGGGAGGTGAGGAGGGTCCTGGAGCCCCTGCCTGGCCATGGGGCAGCGCGGTGGGGTGGCAGGAGGAGACTCACCCAGGAACTGAGGGTTTCTGTCCACCACCTCGCTCATCTCGCCCACCAGCTCGATGCTGGTGTAGCGCACGGCCGTGTGCACTGTCTCAGGGAGGCGAACCACTCCCTCCAGCACCTCCACCAGCGTCGGGTTGTTCTCCCTGGGCAGGGGAAGAGGCAGCCAAGGTGGGCTCCATGGATCAGTTCCATGGGGAAGGTGTTGTAATGAACATGGTCTGACTGCTGGGTTGCTTGGAACCAGCTGGGTAAACACTGTGGTGGGGTGGGTGTTGTTGATGTGGGTTGGGTACAAGCCTCCTGGGAGACCTTAGAGCAGCTCCAGTGCCTAAATGGGCTGCAGGAAAGCTGCAGAGGGGCTTTGGACAAGGGCCTGTAGGGACAGGCCAAGGGGAATGGCTTTAACCTGCCAGAGGGGAGACTGAGATGAGCTCTTAGGCAGAAGCTCTTCCCTGTGAGGGTGCTGAGGCGCTGGCACAGGGTGCCCAGAGAAGCTGTGGCTGCCCCATCCCTGGCAGTGTTCAAGGCCAGGTTGGACACAGGGGCTTGGAGCAAGCTGCTCTAGTGGAAGGTGTCCCTGGAGGTTGGACTCAATGATCTTTAAGTTCCCTTCCAACCAAAACCATTCCATGATTCCATTATTCAAGTCCCCAGTGCATGCAGAAGAGACCCAAGAAGGCCCAACTGCTTCACACAGTCCCAGCTCCATGCTGGACCCATATTCCTGGCCAGGAAGCTGAAACCTCCAAGAAAGAGCCATGCTATGATTCCATATTAGTGGTGTCCCCACAAAACTCACTTGGAGGCAGGTCCTGACCCCACAGCCCCTACAGACACGAGCAGTGTGGTCATCACTCACTGGTCAACGCTCTTGGCTATGGAGGCCATGATGAAGAGGACAGCTTCCGTCACCTCCCAGGGGGGGTTCCCATCCTTCAGCGTGGCATAGAGCTGCAAGGGAGACGATTGGTCATAGAAGAAGCTACAAACACATCTCAGGGATATGTGGTTGTGAATCCCACCCTGTGAGAGCACCACGTGCTCCTCACCTCCTCCCATACACCTGAAACACCAGGCTCCAGGCGTGGACCTGCACAATGCACACACAACCCTGGAATGCTGGGACCACAGGAGCTTTCCCATGTGGTGTGAGGCCTCCTGATCCTCCTGGAACTGTCTCCTCCACCTACTTCACTTCCTTGTGCATGAGATGTGTGTGACCTCCTCCTCATCCCAAAGGCCATCAGTGCTTCATGATGCTCCTGCAAACCCACCTGAGCAAAGCACTCCACTGAGCCCACCAAGAAGATGAGGTCTTTGACCAGGTCCGAGACCCGCATCCGGAACTCCCCAAAGTCATCTGTCTCCTCTGGGACACCTTCCTAAAGGGATGAATAACAGGGTGTGAAGCTCAGAGGAATCCAGGTTCTCACTCAATCACAGAAGATGATCACAGAAGATCCATCATTCCTGCCCTCTTCTCCCTGGATTAAGCTACTGAAGGGTATTTGAAGGAGATCCATGCACACACACTGTGTATTCCTGCTCCAAAACATAGATGAAGCGATGGGAATCAAGGGGATGAGGAGCTTCAAGGAGGATAAAGCACCCCACAAGGAGGAAGAGCTGTGACTTATGCAAGCTTTATCCTGACCAAAACACCCCTGAGCAGGGAATGAAACAAGTCCCAAAGTGGGAACAACCTAGGGGAAAGCAGGAGAGGGTCATCCTGCAGGAACCAGACACCAGGTAGCTCTGTTAGGACAAGACTTCATGAGAAGAGCTTTAACACAACAGTTCTCATCACTCCCAATTGTCCCTCTCTGCGGTAACTCCTGAGCCCTACAGCTATGGAAGGTCAGCAGTGAGGATGGGCACATCCCACCATCCCAGCTGCTTCTAGAGGGAAGGAAAACCAAGGCAGCCTTACGTGGTCTGAGTCAAGCTGGCAGTGTCTGGCCAGGGCATGGAGAAGGCGCTGGATGTAGGCTTTGAAGATGCTGTGGATGATGGCATCATCCGTCTTGTAGAGGTGCTCCCCAAGTCTGTACCAGAAGTTAAAGGAAATTTCTACCACCTATTTGGGGAGAAAACTTGTTACCAACACAATTCTCTCTCCTCTTTGCTCTGCTGATGCTCCCTAAACCTCTCTGCATCTGGGGTACCACCAAGTCCAATCAGTGCTTCACCACGAGGAGCAGCTCCAAAAGGGATCTGAAACAGGCTGAGTGCACCTGAAAGCCTGTGAGCAGTGAAGCTCTTCTGCAAACCTAACACTGGAGCACAAGAAACATCTCTTCCTGCCATCACCTCCTTTCACATCATTAAACCTGCCGGGAGGAGGTTTTAATCTGCCTGATCCTGGCAGGATTTGTGCCCTTCTGCTGTCTCTGCTCATCCATCAGGAGGTGTTTAACACTTAGCCTGACCCAATGAGCTACAGAGCATTTTGCTCTCCCCACCAGAGCCACACTGGTGGAAGGATTTCACCACCTACAGCTGATCCTCACCAACCACAGCCTTGCATCTGATGGCCTGATGGCCACCACGGGGTTGGGCTAACAACATGAGGGAGATGGCAACACCATACAGAAGCAAACATCTCCAAGAGAGCAGCTCAGGCTGGAATGGGATGTTGCTCCAAAGCCTGCTCTGGACAGGGCATTAGCTCAGTCTAGACCCACCTCCCATCCATCACTTGAGGGACTGCATCCCCCCCTTAAGTACAGAAGGAAGGACGAGCATCCCAAAAATCCCAGTTGGCACCCCTCTGCTCCCCACATTGGATTGAGCCCCTCCACAAAGGAACCTCCATCTGCTGAAGTCTTACAGTGCCTAAAGGGGCTGCAGGAAAGCTGGAGAGGGGCTTTGGACAAGGGCCTGCAGGGACAGACCAAGGTGAATGGCTTTAACCTGCCAGAGGGGAGACTGAGATGAGCTCTTAGGCAGAAGCTCTTTGCTGTGAGGGTGCTGAGGCGCTGGCACAGGGTGCCCAGAGAAGCTGTGGCTGCCCCATCCCTGGCAGTGTTCAAGGCCAGGTTGGACACAGGGGCTTGGAGCAAGCTGCTCTAGTGGAAGGTGTCCCTGCCTGTGGCAGAGGGTTGGAATTGGAGGAGCTTTAAGCTCCCTTCCAACACAAACCATCCCGTGAAATCACCCAGGGATCAGCTACTAGGATTTAGCAAAGCTTTGGAAGAATAAATTGGGGTTTTAAGGAGCTCATCTTACACATAAAGCTCTGTACTTAAGGCAGGGTATTTGGGAAGCTCTGATGCACAACGTCTTTTCACTTCCTCAGAGGGCAAGTTTCCCTGAGCCACACTGCAACCCCCACAGAACTTCACTTGCACACGTGCAGAGAACACTAGGGAGGGTTTTGGTGCTGTACTCACAGCCCCACAAATCCAGAGGCTGGGAAAGGGAAGCAGAGCTGGATTCCTGCCTCAAAACCCAGAGCTGGTGCTCCAAAGCCAGCAGCTCACAGGAACTGAATCCTCCCAAGAATTGGCCATAGAAGAGGAAGGTTTCCTTCCTGCTGACTCAACTCTGGAGCAGTGAGAGCTGGTGAGGACAGGAACCCTGACTCACCTCGTACTGCGGGTGTCCCGCACAGATGAGCAGCAGCTCCAGCGTCCTCAGGTCTCCCAGCCCTTGGCCTGGGGTGCACACTATCTTATCCAGGAAGGTCTCGCAGAGCTCGGTGAACACACGGCAGTAGTTGAGCACCCTGGGGAGGAAAAGCAGCAAGTCAGAGGGATGGACGTGGGATCACGCAGCCCAGCACGGAGAGGTTGGGGCTGCGCAGGTAACACACTCCTGAGCTTCAGCTCAGGCCAAGAAACACCAAGTTCTGCTTCAGCTTTCAGTTAGCAGCTGGGAAACAAAAAGGGGAACTTGGCTTTGCTCAGTTAGGTGAAAACACCCAGTTCCAGTCAGCAAATGTTATGAAATTCTCACATCACCCATTGCAGCTGAGAAGACTTCTCTAAATCCACAGCATGGGGCAGGGGGACATGTGAGCAGCTTGGGTCTAAGGCAGCCCCATGAAGATGCCAAGTTTCAGAAGGCAAAGGTACAAACCTGCTTTAAAAGTACACCCAGAATGTCCCGAAGCCCAAGCACTGGGTGGCACTGCTCTTCTGATAGAAACAGTTCAGTGCTGGAGTTTGAGATGATCTATGAGCCTACTCTGCTTGAACATGGTAATGAAGGCAAAGGGGAATGGCTTTAACCTGCCAAAGGGGAGACTGAGATGAGCTCTTAGGCAGAAGCTCTTCCCTGTGAGGGTGCTGAGGTGCTGGCACAGGGTGCCCAGAGAAGCTGTGGCACAAACTGGCCTGGAATCAACTGGGGCTGAAGGTCGGGGGGGGCCCATCAGAGCAGCAAGGTTTTGTGGCTGCAAACATGCGTAGAGCACGCAGGTCAATGTGCTCCATCAAAGTATGATGGCTTCTGTTTCTCCTGAGACAAGAATGAGGAGCTCTTGACCCAGTGGCACATCCAGTGGGAATAGCTGACCTGGGTGTGGGTATCTGGAACAACAGGTTGCTTCTAAACTCTATTTTAAGGCTGGTAAAGCATCAGCTGCAGCTCAGGACGCTTCCTTGCACTTAACCAGCCCCAGGGAACACCAACACCACACCCAGAGCTGCTGACAGTCCAAACTTGAGCCCAGCCTCATGCCTGGAGCATAAACTGGTGCACCAAGGCCAAGGAAGTCATCTGCACACTTGTCTTTGCTCCACAGACACTTATTTGCATTGCAGACTTCAGAGTGCTGCATGGAAACCAACACCAACTGCATACAGGTGCCAGCACAGTTAATGCTGGTGCTTCTCCTCCCTTCCCAGGTTGGAGGCTCACTCACTTGTCCAGGTCCTCCCGTGCTACAGCCATGTGATAGGCACTCTCCAGGGTGAGGACCCCCTGGAAGAGCTGCAGGGCCAGGGGCAGGTTGGTCTCCACGTTCTCGATGGCATAGAGGGCTGAGCACACACAGTCCGAAGCAGCTTCATGGAGGTTTGATGATGTCTTGTCTTGTTGCTGCAAGGAAGGAAGGAGAAGAGCCCAATGATCGTGTTCTGGAGTGACATGGTGATGGACACACAGGGGTTTGTTCTTCTTGTGCCCAAGATCCATTGTAGAGGTTCAAAACTCCCCACAACTCACTCCCACCAGCCCTGCAAAGCCTGTGCTGCTTCACCAGCCTGGACGCTTGAGGTCCAAACTGACCCCATCCCACTGAGTCTTCCTTGAGGGAGGGGAAAACCCCATCTGAAATCCATGGAAGCTCAGAAGGAAAGAAAACACAAGTGCTGTTCCTCAGGGGTTGCGTTGGGACTGATCCTATTCAACATCTTTGTTGATGACACAGACAGCAGGATCGAGCACCCTCAGTGAGCCTGCTGATGACACTGAGCTGTGTAGTGGGGTCATGCAGGAGGGAAGGGATGGGATCCAGAGGGAGGCAACTGAATCCAGCTCTGGAGCAACAGCAAAAGAGGGACATGGAGCTGCTGGAGCGAGTGCAGAGGAGGCCATGGAGATGCTGCAAGGGCTGGAGCAGCTCTGCCCTGGAGCCAGGCTGAGAGAGCTGGGCTGGGTCAGCCTGGAGAAGGCTCCTGAAGGGGTGAAGGGGAGACCTTAGAGCAGCTCCAGTGCCTAAAGGGGCTGCAGGAAAGCTGGAGAGCGGCTTTGGACAAGGGCCTGTAGGGACAGGACAAGGGGAATGGCTTTAACCTGCCAGAGGGGAGACTGAGGTGAGCTCTTAGGCAGAAGCTCTTCCCTGTGAGGGTGCTGAGGCGCTGGCACAGGGTGCCCAGAGAAGCTGTGGCTGCCCCATCCCTGGCAGTGTTCAAGGCCAGGTTGGACACAGGGGCTTGGAGCAAGCTGCTCTAGTGGAAGGTGTCCCTGCCCATGGCAGGGGTTGGGACTGGAGGAGCTTTAAGCTCTCTTCCAACACAAACAAGGCTGGGATTCTGTGATCTTGTACTCTCTGCTGCTGAGTGCAGTCCATGGAGGTGGAAGGCTCACTGATGGCAGCACAGCAGGAAGGTTCCTGCAGCCCAACACCTCCCTCTCTACAGCAGCTCTGCCTCAGCCCAACACACTACAGGCAGCAGTGACCTCTGCTGTCCCCAGCTGCTTGTGTCCTTCCAGCTCCACAGGAAAAGCCAAGATTCCCAGGGGAGCATGGAATGATCTCATAGGGGTGGGCTGCTGAGCTGGGTGGTTGAGTTCAATCAAGTCAGGGCATCTGCTCAGGAGAGATGTCACAGTCTTTCCAAGAACAGGGAATGGTTCTCAGCTCTGGGCTCATATTCCCTGGATCAATCCAGAAGAAGGGCAGGAAAGAGTAAAACCAAAGGAGCTGCAGAGCCTCTTCCTTCCACACAAACAGCCAAACACACATGATGTTCTGCGATGTTCTGCAAAAGCTCTCAGAATACTTTTGGTCCATCAGCTTTGTCTCCACATCAAATTCCTGCACTAAGGACCAAGTACACAGGCAGAGGAAACTCCTAAGGGTACTTTTGGTTTCTCCCTTGGGAGCTTGCTCTTCCCTGCCTGCTAGCAGAGCAGGCAACCTGCCTTGCGGAGCTGATGGAGGTAAAAAAGCAAGCAGTGGATTGCTACTCGAGAGAGGAGGGATGAAACCCACCTTCCCCACCTCCTGGTCCTCAAAGCCCATCAAACCCTCATTGCCAAGAGGAATACTCACCAGCACCTCGAACAGGAGTGACAGCAACTTGCTGTTTGCCATGAAGGTGCTGTCCAGGACGCCCAGGTTGAACCAGCTCCCCAGGCACCGGAAGATCTTGATGAGCATCTTCTCGTCATTGCCTGCTTTCTCCACACATGTCATCTACAGCAGGACAAGGAGGAACCAGTTAGGAACCCAACAGGTAACCCCACAAGCAAAATAACATCTAGTTCTTGGAAAGCCATCCTGGAGTGTCCACAGTTAGCATGAAGAACTCCTCCATGAATCTGGCAAGACAAAGGGAGCCTGGGACAGTCAGGACAGACCCCTCCAAGAGCACACACAGCATGAGTTGGGGCAATCCCAAGCACAAACACACGCTGGGAAGAGGATGGATGGAGCAGCCCTGAGGAGGATTTGGCTGCCCCATCCCTGGCAGTGTTCAAGGCCAGGTTGGACACAGGGGCTTGGAGCAAGCTGCTCTAGTGGAAGGTGTCCCTGCCCGTGGCAGGGGTTGGAACTGGAGGAGTTTTAAGGTCCCTTCCAACCCAAACCACTTTGGGATTCTACGAGTGTCCTATCAAGCAGCACTTTTAGACCCATGTGGAAGCAAGAAAAGCACTTTGAGTGTTTTCACTCATTCCCAGTTTCCTACAGGATCCTATCTCAGACCAGTGGAGCATGGACACAAACGAGTTTCCTACATGATAAGCCCCTAAACTCAATCCCATCTCACTTTACGTTTCTCATCACAAAACAACCATTGCCAAAGAGAAGATGGGTCATGAGGGTCAGATTCACCCCAAAGGCCACCTTGATGACCTGTGAACCATCCTTCCCTTGCCAGGCTGAGGGAAAGGAAGAAGAGGTGGACAGGAAGGACCTGGAGAAGGATCCCAGACTCCCTTTCTCCCAGAAGAGAGCCCGGATTGGCCAAGCAATCCTGACCAGGAGATCCTCCTCACTTGACACTTCAAGCCTGAAGGTAGAATGTTGCACTTCATCACAGTATCCTTTCGTAGATCCCCTTTTTGTCACTCAAGAAAGAGAATTTAGCATTTAAATCCTATGGAGAAGAATTAATTTTGGGATTTACTATGAAAGCTCCTGGTAGAAGCAGAGGAAATCTGAACAGAAACTCTTATGACAGCACTATGTCCCTTGGTGACCCTCACATTGTGCTGGTGAGGCTGGGAGCAGCCAGTGCAAGGTGACACTGCCTGTCTCACTGATGTGACAGCCAGGCTTCTCCCACATGTCCTAGGGAAGGGCTGGAAATTGCTGGGAGGGATGGCAGGACTGCAGGAGGGATGGTGCAGGGACTGCAGGAAGGTGAAAAGGGTTTCAGGAGTGAGAAAGGACTCATACAAACTCAAGCCTAAGGAAAAGGTGACACGGGGCTCCCCCAGTGGCTGTGCTGGTCATGGCATGGAGCTCTGCTGGGGAAAATACAGGGGGAAGAGTCTTCTCAAGAAGGTCTGAGCTGCTGTGGAGCAGAGGGAACAGCTCAACTGTGTGACTGCATGTGGAGGATAAGAGGAAATGGCCCCAAGTTGTGCCAAGGGAAGTGGAGACTGGATATGGGGAAAAATGTCTTCACTGAAAGCACGGCCAGAGGAGGCCATGGAGATGCTGCGAGGGCTGGAGCAGCTCTGCTCTGGAGCCAGGCTGAGAGAGCTGGGCTGGGTCAGCCTGGAGAAGAGAAGGCTCCTGAACGGGAGACCTGAGAGCAGCTCCAGTGCCTAAAGGGGCTGCAGGAAAGCTGGAGAGGGGCTTTGGACAAGGGCCTGTAGGGCCAGGCCAAGGGGAATGGCTTTAACCTGCCCGAGGGGAGACTGAGATGAGCTCTTAGGCAGAAGCTCTTCCCTGTGAGGGTGCGCTGGCACAGGGTGCCCAGAGGAGCTGTGGCTGCCCCATCCCTGGCAGTGTTCGAGGCCAGGTTGGACACAGGGGCTTGGAGCAAGCTGCTCTAGTGGAAGGTGTCCCTGCCCGTGGCAGGGTTGGAACTGGAGGAGCTTTAAGGTCCCTTCCAACCCAAACAAGGCTGGGATTCTGTGATCCTCAAGAGCACAGTTCCTTCTATCTACATCAGCTACAACTCAGGGAACACTGACCAGGAGGATGGGAATGTGGGTGGAAGAAAAACGGGTGACCACAGACCCATGAGTGCAGGGCAGCCAAGCACAGGAAGATCGGGCTGCAGAGCAGAGGAACGGCTGCTGATGAGGTGCTGCAATGGAACACCCCAAACCCTGAGTCCATCTGGAGCCTGGTGTCATTCACAAGTAGCTCAGTGGAATCACAGGCTTGTGACATGCTGCTGAGGGGATGTCATCTTTCTTTCTTTAGATAAGCAGCATGAAAGGGTAGACATTGATGGGAAGCTCTAGGGACTATGGCACATGCTCCATTTGAAGCCTGAGACAGGGTTGGCTGCTCTTTTATGGGGTTGGATGCTCTTTTATGGAGCTCAAACAACACCAAAGAACACGAGAAGCTTCCCTGGCAAGGCAGGAGCTGGCAAGGAGCATTTCTTTTCAGTCCACGAAGAGATTTATCTCAATGCTTATTCTCTGCTCCCCAAACTTGCTTTCTTTTGGGGTCCACAATAGTCTTGTTCTTTGAGAGCAGGAATAGTCCCTGAATGGAGAAACCTTTGGAGAACCACCAGGAGATTCAGCTACAGTGTCCTGTTTGCCAAACACCAAGCGTAACCTGCAGCAAATGTATAACCTCAGCTTACCACAGCATGGTCAGAAACTGGGCATGTTCTTAGGTCTGAAAGTGAGAAGACAGAGAAAACCCAGGGTTTTAGTATCTGAATGCCTTGCTTCTAAGATACTTGAAGTTCAACAAGGCCAAGGAGCTACAAGAAACCTGGAGAGGGGCTTTGGACAAGGGCCTGTAGGGACAGGACAAGGGCAATGGCTTTAACCTGCCAGAGGGAAGACTGAGATGAGCTCTTAGGCAGGAGCTCTTCCCTGTGAGGGTGCTGAGGCGCTGGCACAGGGTGCCCAGAGAAGCTGTGGCTGCCCCATCCCTGGCAGTGTTCAAGGCCAGGTTGGACACAGGGGCTTGGAGCAAGCTGCTCTAGTGGAAGGTGTCCCTGCCCGTGGCAGGGGTTGGAGCTGGAGGAGCTTTAAGGTCCCTTCTAACACAAACCAGTCTGGGATTCTGTGATATATCAAGACACAAGATGTCTTTGGGGCAGAGTCTAGTTGGAGGCCTGTAACCAGTGGAGTGCCTCAGGGGTCAGTACTGGGACCAGTATTATTTAATATATTCATCAACGATTTAGATGAGGGAATTGAGTGTACTATTAGCAAGTTTGCTGATGACGCTAAGCTGAGAGGAGTGGCTGACACGCCAGAAGGCTGTGCTGCCATCCAGCGTGACCTGGACAGGCTGGAGAGTTTGGCAGGGAATAACTTGATGAAATATAACAAGGGAAAGGTTAGAGTCCTGCATCTGGGCAGGAACAACCCCAGGTTCCAGTATAGGTTGGGGAACGACCTGTTAGAGAGCAGTGTAGGGGAGAGGGACCTGGGGGTCCTAGTGGACGACAGGATGACCATGAGCCAACACTGTGCCCTTGTGGCCAAGAAGGCCAGTGGCATCCTGGGGTGTATTAGAAGGGGGGTGGTTAGTAGGTCGAGAGAGGTCCTCCTTCCCCTCTACTCTGCCCTGGTGAGACCGCATCTGGAATATTGTGTCCAGTTCTGGGCCCCTCAGTTCAAGAAGGACAGGGACCTGCTGGAGAGAGTCCAGCGCAGGGCAATGAAGATGATTAAGGGAGCTGAGCATCTCCCTTATGAGGAAAGACTGAGGGAGCTGGGTCTCTATAGTTTAGAGAAGAGGAGACTGAGGGGTGACCTTATTAGTGTCTATAAATATATAAAGGGGGAGTGTCACGAGGATGGAGCCAGGCTCTACTCAGTGGTAAACAATGATAGGACAAGGGGTAATGGGTACAAACTGGAACACAAGAGGTTCCACTTAAACTTGAGAAGAAACTTCTCAGTGAGGGTGACGGAACACTGGAACAGGCTGCCCAGGGAGGTTGTGGAATCTCCTTCCCTGGAGACATTCAAAACCCGCCTGGACACATTCCTGTGTAACATTATCTAGGAGTTCCTGCTCTGGCAGGGGGATTGGACTAGATGATCTTTTGAGGTCCCTTCCAATCTCTAACATACTGTGATACTGTGAAGATGTGGAGATCTCAAGATGATGACCTAGAGACCTACATACACACACCCATAATGGGCTGAAGTAATTTCTGGCTTAGCCCTCAAACAACACAAAACTAGTGCAGCCTGCACAGGAATCCCAGCTTAGCCAACGACTGGACCTAAAATCTAGGAGACTAAAGAGCTCTTCCTGAACTTACAGCACAGAATGCTGGAAGAGAAACCTCCATACTTGGTTCCACCAATGAAATCAACGCAGTGCCCACAGGGACACTCTGGTTGAGAGGATGAGACAGCTGAGTTCCCAGAACTAGCTCTGTTATCAAACCAGTGCTGACAACAAGAACCTGACTCTGATTTTGTTCTGCTTGGAACTGAAATATATAAAACCATCTTGTTTCATACATCCAACCTGGAATAGCCTGGACCAGTGATGTGGAGGGGGAGAAGAATGATGGAGCCTCATCTACAAAACCCATGTAGATGAGGCCCTCAGTGCTATGGGTTAGTGGTGGCCTTGGCAGTGCTGGGGAACAGTTGGACTTGATGATTTGGTTCCAAGAAGCTGGATGAAACTCCCCAGCAGCTGACCACTGCCTGGTCACTCTCTGGTCTCCTTACCAGCAGAGAGACGACCGTGCTGGAGTAATAGGCCAGATCCTCTATGATCTCGGTGCGGCGGTTGGCTCCGATGCGCAGGGACCGGCTGTGCACCTCCTCCGGCAGCACCGTGAGGATCTCCAGCAGGAAGGGGAGTGATGTGACATCATTGCTGTACCTGGAGCAATGGGGAGGGAGGACGGGCTGTGAGGGCAGGTGACAAACAAGTGCTCAAGGCCAGGTTGGACACAGGGGCTTGGAGCGATCTGCTCTAGGGGAAGGTGTCCATGCCCATGGCAAGGGTTGGAGCTGGATGAGCTTTAAGATCCCTCCCAACGCAAACCAGCCTGGGATACTATGAAAGAAAAGCTTTCTGTATCATGGGCTCTTTGCTGCTGGCGGCCTTTTTGGACTATGCAGCTCCACCCCCTCCCCAGTTACTCAAGGATCAATTTAAGAGTTTGATACAAAGATTTACTCACTTTTCCACCAGTGTTTGTACGCAGCCTTTCCAAGAAGCCATCTGCAGGGCAAGGTCTGCTATTGCTAAAGCAAGCTGGAAGGAGAAGAGGGAAATGGGTTCAAAGTGAAATAGGGGAGATTGAGGTTAGATCTTAGGCACAAGTTCATCCCTGTGAGGGTGCTGAGGCACTGGCACAGGGTGCCCAGAGAAGCTGTGGCTGCCCCATCCCTGGCAGTGTTCAAGGCCAGGCTGGACACAGGGGCTTGGAGCAAGCTGCTCTAGTGGAAGGTGTCCCTGCCCGTGGCAGGGGTTGGAACTGAAGGAGCTTTGATAGGCTGAGAAAGTTGGGGCTGTTCAGCCTGGAGAAGACCTCATAGCAGCCTTCCAGTATCTGAAGGGGGCTACAAGGATGCTGGGGAGGGACTCTTCATTAGGGATTGTAGTGGTAGAAGGGGTAACGGGTTGAAACTTAAACAGGGGAAGTTTAGATTGGATATAATGAGGAAATTCTTTACTGTAAGGGTGGTGAGGCACTGGAATGGGTTGCCCAGGGAGGTTGTGAATGCTCCATCCCTGGCAGTGTTCAAGGCCAGGTTGGACAGAGCCTTGGGTGACATGGTTTAGTGGGAGGTGTCCCCACCCATGGCAGGGGGGGTTGGAACCTGATGATCTTAAGGTCCTTTCCAACCCAAACTATTCTATGATTCTATGATTCTGTTCTATCTTAAGGCCCTTTCCAACCCAAACCATTCCATGATTCCACATTTCTATAAATAAAACAGCATATTAAGTGTCGGGACTGATACAATCTGCCCAACAGCTCAGGAGAAGGGGTTCTGTGACCATCAGAGCAGTGCTCAGCATGGGATACTCATCCACATTATCCGTGCCTTGTGCATGATCCCTGTGGAACACCCAGCCCCAGTGGGGTGGTATTACTTGATGAAGCTATTTAAGGGTTGAACAGGCAACTCTGCCTCAGTCTGTGCAGTGTCGGACACCCCTATGCCACAGGAATTTATGGATAATGAGAATGAAGGGATTTCCAAGGACATGCCAGCACCCTGGGGGAAATCCTCCTGGATATCCAGGGCGCTGCTGGGCAGATCACTACTCTGTCTGCATTGCAGAGCACAAAGGACAGACCAGGAAGAGTTATTCCTCCTCTCAGCCTCTCCAAACAGCAAAGAAGAGGATAAAGGATTGATTTAACCAAAGGAACTAAATAATGAAGGAATTATGTACTGGGAAATGCAATGGAGGTGGCTGCAGGCATCAACCTTCCCAGTTGTCCATGATGGAGAAAAAGCAACCAAGGGGTTTGCCTCAGTAGAAGTCAAAATGGCAAGAGGTGGAGGTGGCCACCATCAGCATCAATTCTTCCTCCCTCAAGCACCCCACTGGAATGGCTCTGGCAGGGCTGTGACACCCGCCTGGTACCAGCCTGCTCCCAGTGGGAAGTTAGGACCAGCCCTCGCTGGTCATGGACATTGAGAGCAGCTTCTTCCACGCCTCTGCTCAGCACCCACCTGGGTTACGATGACCGGTGACAGGTCTTTCAAGTTCTGGATGTGGGACAGCAATGAGTCCCGTAGGGAAGCGTGGGAATCCGTGGGGAGTTCATAGAAGGAAGTTTGGATCTTCATCTTCATGGTCTGTGCCGCAAAGTAGCAGGATTCCACATCCTGATGGATCTGCAGCAGCTGGTCAGAGATCTCCCAAGCGTGGACCTGCAGGAAGCACAGCCAGTAAGTGAAACCCAAATTCCCTTTGGGAATGATGACGAAAATGGATCCTCTCCCCCAAAATCCCACCCTGATTCTCATCAGGAGAGTCCATTCGCGTTGCCTTCACATCTCAAGTGATGGAGCTGGTTAATGAAGGCACTGGGGCTGTGACACCCACCCAAGGAGCTGAAGGAGCTCCCAGCACCAGTGCTGATGCTCATGGCCTCAGTTACCACAAGCCCTTCAGGAGAGCAGGTTAGAGAGTGATCTGATGCTCACCCTTGCAGTGAAGAGCATGGAGAGACGGTTTTGGGCTAAGGTGGACAATTTGGACAATTCTTGAGCCCATTACACAGCAATGGAAGCAGAAAGAGCCCAGCAAGGGAGAAATGGGGAAAGGATGGGATAAAAACCTCTTCGGGTCACAGTAATGGCATGTAATTGCAAAACTGAAGCCACCAGCCCTGTCCAAGAGCACAGGCTGGGACTGGAGAAGCTGCTGCACATGATGGATGTGCCAAAGAGTTTGGAGGAGGGCCAGCAGTGAGGGAGATGAGCATCTGCCAGGCCTGTGTGAGACTGAAGGCACCAGAAGTTACAAGGAGAGCACTGGGTGAGCCACAGGACCCATAGGCACAGCCCGCGCCACCCTCACCTCACCAGGGTGGGCTCCACATCACAGCACAAGCACTGTTCAGAGCTGCTGAAGCACTCACTACCTAGGGTTTGGTAGGAAAATGAAGCCAGGAAAGCTTGGCTGGGTCACCAATTGTCACCAAACCCCACCACTGCCGCAGCACATCAGCATGGCTTGGGAAGAAACACTTGGATTAAGGGTCTCCTGTTGAGGAATGCTTCAGAGGACTCAGATGATCCAACTGTCTTCCCTTCCCAAACATCAGCAATATTCCAGCTCTGGAAACATCATTCAGCTTTTCCTTAAAAATTAAGGTTTTATTTTTCCACAGCACTTGAAATCTGCATAGTTGATCTTGAAATAGTCAATCTACATCATGTGTGTGACCAACACTGAGCGCCTCGGCCAACTCCTTGGACCAGCACCCCAAAAGCTGCTACACACAAGCCATGGGCACCCAGAAGGAACACGGTGACCACGTCCAACACTTACCAGACTGTTTGCTATCACTATAATCACTGTTAGAAGGAACCTTAAAGCTCCTCCAGCTCCAACCCCTGCCACAGGCAGGGACACCTTCCACTAGAGCAGCTTGCTCCAAGCCCCTGTGTCCAACCTGGCCTTGAACACTGCCAGGGATGGGGCAGCCACAGCTTCTCTGGGCACCCTGTGCCAGCGCCTCAGCACCCTCACAGGGAAGAGCTTCTGCCTAAGAGCTCATCTTAATCTCCCCTTGGGCAGATTAAAGTCATTCCCCTTGTTCTGTCCCTACTTTCAATAGGTGCTCACCAAGCTTTGAAGCCCATGATGGTCAAGGAGAGCATCCTTCCAGAGCTGCCTCCTTCCAGACATGCTCCTTCCCTCCTACCAGGCTTTGATCCTTCTTTTCCAGCTGCCTCTGTGCCCAGGGGCTGTCAAATGAGCTTTCTCCTTTAACTTCAGCTATTATTAGTTTAGCTTTAAGGTCCCTTCCAACCCAAACCATTCCATTCATATCGCTTATGTGTTGGCTTATGCACCTTTAGACAAAAGGTTCCAGAACTTTGTAAGGAGGAAGTTCTTTACTGTAAGGATGGTGAGGCACTGGAATGGGTTGCCCAAGGAAGTTGTGAATGCTCCATCCCTGGTGGTGTTCAAGACCAGGTTGGACAGAGCCTTGGGTGACATGGTTTAGTGTGAGGTGTCCCTGCCCATGGCAGGGGGTTTAGAACTGGGTGATCTTAAGGTCCTTTCCAACCCAAACCATTCTGTGATTCTAAGAGCATCCTCCATTGGAAGATGATGTCCTGTGGCCATCAGGCTGTGTGAGGAGGATCTTCACCAACCACCTCAAGGCCTGTGGGTGATACTCACCTTCCTACTGAGAAGATATGACATCATGGGGTGGAAGAGGCTGCTCTGCAAGCCTACAATCCACCTTGTCTTGGCAGATTGGAAAGGAAAAGCTTGTTCCTTGTTTCCCACATGAACTCTTGGCTCCAGCTGGATTTCCAGAGTTCCATGAAGATGAACCAAGCAGCCTGGTGACAACATCCCCTTCCCTACCCACAGACGGTGACACCCACAAGGACCTTGTAACTGCTAGTTCAAACTGAAGCAGCCTTGGCTTTCCACCCAAATTACATTTCAGTTTGGTGGCCCAACACCTTCAGCATCCTACCACATGGACCCTTCCAGAGTAAAGGTGCTCATCTGCAGACTGTTGTACTTGAGGGTCAACACCAACCCTGTTATGAACAGCTCACATGTGATGCTACTAGTATTTACAAAAGGATTTTTACCTACAGTCGAGGCTGTTCTTCAGTCAGAAGCAAAAGTGATCCTGAAGAGACACAATGAAGCTTTCATGGAGGAAGGAGCTGCTGTTCCCACCTCTATGGATGAGTCCATGGGCTTCAAGCTCACCTTCCTCCAGTCCCATGGGATCTATGTGCACAGAGTCTTGCTCACAAGTGTAACATTTATTTTTACCATTGATCCAGCTCCACACTGGGGTTCAAGCCTGACTTTTCATGTAAGAATTGAGCAATAAAAGAAGGCACATAAGGCAAGAAGCCAGCTCAAGGCCTTGTCACTGAGCTCTGAAGACCATCACCCAAAGAGCTCTGCCCAGCACCCACCTTCCAGAGGCAGATAAAGCCCAAACCCCCACATTGAAGGGTGGAATATCTGCAGCTTAGGGTTGGAAAGAACCTTAAGATCATCAAGTTCCAACCCCCCTGCCATGGGCAGGGACACCTCCCACTAAACCATGGCACCCAAGGCTCTGTCCAACCTGCCCTTGAACACTGCCAGGGATGGGGCAGCCACAGCTTCTCTGGGCACCCTGTGCCAGTGCCTCAGCACCCTCACAGGGAAGAGCTTCTGCCTAAGAGCTCATCTCAGTCTCCCCTATTTCACTTTGAACCCATTTCCCTCTTCTCCTTCCAGCTTGCTTTAGCAATAGCAGACCTTGCCCTGCAGATGGCTTCTTGGAAAGGCTGCGTACAAACACTGGTGGAAAAGTGAGTAAATCTTTGCATCAAACTCTTAAATTGATCCTTGAGTGAATGGGGAGGGGGTGGAGCTGCATAGTCCAAAAAGGCCCCCAGCAGCAAAGAGCCCATGATACAGAAAGTTTCTCTTTCATAGTATCCCAGCCTGGTTTGGGTTGGGAGGGATCTTAAAGCTCATCCAGCTCCAACCCTTGCCATGGGCATGGACACCTTCCCCTAGAGCAGATTGCTCCAAGCCCCTGTGTCCAACCTGGCCTTGAGCACTTGTTTGTCACCTGCCCTCACAGCCCGTCCTCCCTCCCCGTTGCCTGAGGAGATCCTCAGGCAGCCTCAATTATTACGGCTCACTTTCAGGCCAAAGCTGGTTTGAGCTGTGAAAACAGGAGGATTCCCACCTGAGAGGTACCCACAAAGTGTTCCTCTTCCAGAAAAGAGCTCTCTGTGTCCACTCCTTGGCCAAGCAGCATCTCCAAGATGCCCAAGGTCACGATTCCCAAGCCAAGGCAGCTGCAAACCCTTCATCTATTGAGCAGCCTCTCCCTAAGGTCTCATAAAGGCTTTTGAAGGCCGGTTCTAATGGACATCACTACACTGAGCTCCAGCTTTAGGCAGAGAAGGAGCCTTCCAAGACAAGTCTTCTGCTCAACAAGACTCTGAAGATGCCTTGAGAGGGCCACTCAAGGTGACACCTTCCAGGGGAGACCCTGACAGCCAGGCTTGGGTCTGTTACAGAGGAATACAGACAGCAGCTTGTGTGCTGGAGAGGTGGTGGCACCACGAAGCTGGGGTTGGTCATGGATTGGTCATGACTGGGGTTGGTCATGGATTCCAGCAAAGAGCCCTGGAATATCCTTCCTTTTCCAAATGGAAAGGGAAGAATGGGCCTATTGAACACCAGACAAAGAGATGGACACCAAACCAGCACAAAGTGTGAGTTGTAGGTGCTGTCAGAATCAAGAGCTTCCACCTGAAAAGGAAAGTTTTGCTGTGGAGCTGCAGGTAAAGCCTTCTTGCAGAGGCAGCTTTTCCTTCTAAACTTCCACCAACTGGTTTAACTTGTCTGTTCCCCCCAAATTCCTCTTCCCTGGAAGGATTCAACTGCTTCCATGGGCAAGCTTCACCACGGAGGATCTATGTTGTAGCCAGGAAGACTTTGAGAAGACAGCAGAGAAACCTAAACCACAGAATCAGGTGGGAAGCAGCAGCCTGGAGGTCTCTGCTCAAAGCAGAAGCAACTTCAGTCAAGCCCATTCAGGGCAGCTGTGAAGATCTCCAAGGATGGAGACTTCCTCACCCTGGTCTTTGTGCCAGGGTTTATCCACCTTAATGCAGCTTAGGGGCAACCTGGTCTCCTAAATCCCAAACCCCACTGATTTCCATCCGGTCATCCCAAGGCTGATCCATGAGGTGTTCATATCCAGGAGAAAGGAATTTGAGTTGGCCTTTGATGTTGAAGTCCCTGTTTCTCCACCCAACCAAGATCCCTTGCAAGCAGCCCTGCCTCCAGAACATTAACTGCTCCTCCAACATGGCACCATCCATGAACTCGCTGTGGTGGATCTGTCCTGTCATCCAGTATCTACACTATTATGGATCCTTGAGGAATGTCACTTAACTGGCCACCAGCTGGACTTCAGGTCGATGACCACTGCTGTTTGAGCCCAACCACCAGGTCCATCTCTCTGGTTACTGCAGGACAATGTGTTGGAAGCCTTGCTAAACGCCACGGAAAAGGACATCCATTGCTCTCCCCAGCCACCACATCAGCCAGCTTAGCACAGGAGGCTACCTGGGTGGGCAGGAAACGTGTGTTCTCCAATGCCAGGCCAGAAGGCACGTCATTCTCTCTGCCCCAGCCTTTCCTACCCATTGCTTTTGATATGAGCAGCTCATGAAATGATGCTTTGAGACCCGTGCTGCCTCTGGATGTGCCCAAATGGACTTCCAGATGTCCTGCCACAGCTTTAAGGTCCCTTCCAACCCCAACCAGTGTGGGATTCTATGAGCAGACAACCCCAGACCTGCAGGGTGATGCTGCTGAGATGCAGCTTCACCATAATTTCACCTCTATACCCACCAGTAAGACTCCAAGGGATGTTCTACCACAGTCAATGGTTCCTTGTACCCCACAGCTCCCATCTACCACAGGGTTAAAACCACTGATGCCACCACAACAATTACCACCTCAAGCTGCTTCAGTAGGTCACTACAGAGCTCCCAGCATCACCTCTTCTTTTCTGGCCTTGAGCAGGTCCCATGTGTTATCTGTCTGGATGTTAATGCTATCAAAGTGCTCCTGGAAGTTGGAATACACTCAGTGAAGAGGTGATGGATGAAATCAGGTGATTTCCCAGAGCATCCAAAAGGCTGGGAAATCACTGGGATTAATCCTAATTCTGAAAGGATCAGGCCAAATAAGCACAACTAAAACTGAGAAGCAGAAATGCTGTTAATCTGGAGTCAAACTAAGGCACTGCTTGAGTTTAAACGACCCTGGTACATACAACAGTCAGTCCAAGGAGGGAAGAGATTCCTGAAAGCATTTCTCTTGAGTGGTATTCCTCTCTGAAAAGGAAAGGGATCCCTTTGGTTTCCAGGGCACCCATGGTTTACATTAAAAACAACCTGGATGACACAGAGAAGAGCCAAAGAAACCACAACAGAGCAAAACCAACCCCAACACTTGCCACAGAAAGAGAGATCCTGACCTTACGGGTGCTCAGGGAGTTAAAAGTCCTCAACACTCCCAGCTCTGCTCCTGGTGGGACACTTTGTACCCAATGTATCCAGTGTTTGTATCCAGTGTGTGTGGATAGAGATGAGCTCTTAGGCAGAAGCTCTTCCCTGTGAGGGTGCTGAGGCGCTGGCACAGGGTGCCCAGAGAAGCTGTGGCTGCCCCATCCCTGGCAGTGTTCAAGGCCAGGTTGGACACAGGGGCTTGGAGCAAGCTGCTCTAGTGGAAGGTGTCCCTGCCTGTGGCAGGGGTTGGAGCTGGAGGAGCTTTAAGGTCCCTTCCAACTGCAGAGTCAATACCTCCCCTTGTGCTCTAAGGTCAGAGTCCTTAGGGTGCTCTGGGTGCCCTCAGGCAGCAAGCATAGCACTCACTCCCGCAAGCACAGATTTGGGTGGTTTCTGGAACAAAAAGTAGCTCTGAAATAGTAATTTCCCTCTTTTTTTAACCCAAATGAGATCTGTATAATTTCTAATGTATATATCTGTATATTTATAATATATACATGGGTATAACCACATCCAGCAGCGCTCAGATCCACCAAAGAACCACCATAGGATTGGACCTACCACTGAGCCCCCCCATGGGACCCAAATTCTCCCCAAGTGCTTTCCAAACGACAAAGCCCCTTCCCAAGAGGATAACACATGGGAAGCAGCTGCTTAAATCCACAGACACACACACACACAAGTGATGGGTTTCCAGGTGCAGAAACAAACCCTGCTGCAAATTCAGGGCGGAACAGGAGTGAAGTAGGAAGGAAAAAAGGGGAAAAACCAGGAGTTTGTGTAAAAAGAGATCCAACAGCCCATGGGAAGCTGATGGAGATGATGGGGCTCCAGGAAGCGTGTGTGGGAAGCATGGAGGGAAAATATCCCATAGGATGAAGAGCCCAGCAGGGAGAAAAGGGAGGAAAAGGGGTTGTGGGGAAGAGCAGAGGGGGAAAACTGCTCCAGGGTGGCACAGGCTGGGAACAAGGAGCGATGCTCTAGGAGGAGCTATGGGCTTTGGAGAGGAGAAGCAAAGCCACCTCCAGGTTACAACCCAAAGGGAGCAAATCTGCTTCCACCAGGATGACGTGAGGAAACAAAACACACGTCAGCGCCCACATTTAGGCTCTTTGGGGTGAAGTTTGGAGTGAAGGAGCTCACTGTGCATCACATAGAGACTCCAGAGAGCAGGAATGGGGCTTTGGATCCATCATTGACAGAAAACAGACGTTATCTCCCAGGTTTCGCTCTTTAGAGTGAAGTTTGGGGTGAAGGAGCTCAACATACGCCACATATCAACTCCAGAGCGCAGGAATGGAGCTCTGGATCCATCACTGACACATTAATTCCCAGGTTTAGGCTCTTTAGGGTGAGGTTTGAGGTGAAGCAGCTCGCTATCTGTCACATAGGAGACTCCAGAGCACAGGAATGGGGCTTTGGACCCATCACTGACCCCTCAATGCCTCTGGGACAGGCGGGCGATGCCCCCCATCTCCCTCACCCCAAACAGCGGGATACGCTCAGGATAAATCCACATTGCAATCCCCCACACCCCTCCTGGCACCATTTCCTCCCCCCATGCACAGCGAGGGCTCATCCCAACCCCCTCATCCCGTCATTCCCGTTGTTGTGTTGGGAAGCAAACCCCGATCACAAGAGGGTCCGGGGGGGGGGGGGGGGGGAAACGGGGGGGGTTATCCCCAAAGCCGCGTTACCCCCATAACGCCCCCAGGGAGCCCGGCCGCGCCTCACGGGCACTGCTGCGGGGATGGAGCGGGGGGGATCACCGGGTCCCCGCCGGGCCTCACCGATCGCTGGAGCTCTCCCAGCCAGCAGCTCGCCCGCTCCTTGCCGCTGGGGTCGGGGTCGTGGTAGAGCGCCTGCACGGCCTGGTACACGACCTGCAGCCCCGGCTTCCCGCCGCCCTCCATGGCCGCGTCCGCTCAGCGCCAGCCTCCGCCCGCCGCCATGTCCGGGCCCCGCGCTCCGGTACCGGGCCGGGACCGTGCACCCGCGCAGCGCGGCACTCACCCCCCCACCCCCCCCCCCGGAAACACGCGGCCGCTTCCTTCCGTTCCGCTGCGATCCGTTCCGCTTCCTCCCGTCCTTTCCGCTTACTCCCGGCACCGCTCGGTACCGGTACGATCAAACCCGGAGCGGTGCATCCACGCTCGCCCCTCGCCGTTAACCGCCGGTTCCGCCCGCACCGGCTCCGTCCGCACCGGCCCCGCGGGGCTCCTGCGGGTGCGTTGCTCAAAGCTGTCCGGGCGGGCGCGGCCACACGCGGAAGGAGCCCGCGGGCACTCCCCAACCTGCGGCGACGGCACCGGGGGGCTCCGGGCGCAGGATGGGCCCGTTACCGGAGCTGTGACCCCCCCATCCGGACCGTGACACAGCACCAGACCGGGCACGGTGCTATGGGACCGGCCACCCCTGGACACATAGACCGGGATGGGGGGGTCCCACCGCCCCCCCCCCCATCAACCCGTCCCATGGGGCCCTACTGGGGTACCACCGCCCCCCCAGTCCTGTCACTGCCTCCCACAAGGGCTCTGTATCCCCCAGTCCTGTGCCTCCATCCCACCACACCTCCCAATGCTGTCACCATGTGCAGCCGGGGCCCCATTGCCCCCAGTCCCATCATCCCATCCCATTGGAGTCCCACCTTCCCCCAGTCCCGTTAGCCCATGCAACCAGGGTCCTGTCACATGTCACACCCCCCAAATCCCATCTCTCCATCCCACTGGGTGCCCCCACAACCCCAGTCCCATTACCCCATCCCCTCGGGGTCCCACATCCCCCCTCACTGTTCAATCACTGCATCCCAATGCCCTACTGCAGCCCCATCTCCCCGTCCCACTGGAATGCCACAGCTCCCCCAGTCCTGTTACCCCCTCTCACCAGGTACCCACTGCCATCCAATCCTGTCACCCCATCCCAATGCCTCCTCCAGGCCCAAGGAGGTTCCACCAAGGAGGTTCCTCCCAGTCCCATCTCTCCATCCCACTGGGTGCCCCCACACCCCCAGTCCCATTACCCCATCCCATTGGGGCCCCACTACCCCCAGTCCTGTTCCTCCACACCCCACACCCCACACCCCCCCCCGAGTCCCATCACCCATCCCAGCCCCATCACCCCACCCCACTGGGGTCCCACACTCCCTGTCACCTCATTCCACTGGAGTCCTACCACCCCCAGGCTCCCATCCCAGCCTGGCCCACTGTGCCCCCACCATTCCCGCTGTTCCCAACAGCCCAGCCCAGGGTTATCCCAGTCTCCTTCCCAACTCTATTCCCAGCCCCTGGGGTCCCCTTATCTCCTGCAGTGGCCTCCCATGAGCCCCCCAGCCCCATAGGGCCACCTCAGCTCCACAGGTGCTTCTCTCCCTGTTTTAGGGAAGGGACTGACCTGCGAGATCTCCTCCCCAGAGCCCTCATCCCACTGAAAACTGGGGAGGAATAACAGGATCTGCAGGGATGTGACCCCAGGAAAGAAGATGGGGTTGCACTTGCAGGTCCAGACCAGGTCCCCTTGGAGTGAAGGAGCTGCTGCAGCAACCCCAGGCTTTGGCTCTGCTTTGTCCCAGGGGATGAGGCTTTGACTCCAGGGATATGGAGTGAGCAGAAGCCCCACATTGGGACTGATGCTGATTTTCCTGCTTCCCTTATGTCCCCCTCCCCAGCAAACCCCTCATGGTGGGTCCATGTGGTGTTTCCATACTGGACACAGCACCAGAGTCACCAGCCCTTCGCCATCCAGTGGGATCTTTGGGTCTGGATTTGACTCGTTCCCATCAATGTGTCCAGCCAGATGATGAGAAAGAGCAAATCCAGACCCCAGTGTCCCACTGGGGACACACAGTGAGCCAGATCCCCCGTTCCCAGCACTGAGCTGCCTCCAGGCCCATGTTCCGGCTCCAAACATGGATGTGGGGCTGATCCAGACCCGAATTCCACCTCCAGTGGGGGACTGGCGCCCCTTTGTCAAAACCAAATGATCTGGCACAAAAAGGAAGGAACAAGACCCAAAATGGAGCCATTTATGGGGTTTCCTGCAGGAAGAGTGGGGGAGACGGTTTAGTGTGAGGTGTCCCTGCCCATGGCAGGGGGGGTGGAACTGGATGATCTTAAGGTCCTTTCCAACCCAAACTATTCTATGATTCTATAAGAGGGTTTGGGACTGGCCAGTCAAGCAGCTTCCTGCATCCAGAAACTTTGGGATCCATCCCAGTTATTATATCAATATATTCATGAAGGATAAACCAAATCCCAGAGCAGAAGTTCATGGGGCACTTGGGTGACAAATCCTGATCAAATCCCAACAAATCGCACTGGAAATGCATCCAGGTGGTATTTAAGGGAATGGACTCTCCTGGTAGGGTCTGGAGAAGGTGTAACCACATCCCAGCCCATCCAGAAGGGAAGTGGGTATCCATCAAGCCATGACCCAACCTCTATTGAGTCCTCTACATAGACCTCTTCAGCCTACATGGAGGAGTCATGGAAGGAGGATGCCATCGGGATTGTGGCAATGAGCTCCCCATAGAGCCCAGTTCACTTCTATATGGTCTGGGTGCACCTTGGGGTGGCAATATTCTCCATGGTGGTGGTCACCATGGGATGAAGCTCTGCTGGCTTCCTCCCTGTTGGATACTGGAGCCATCGCTGGAGATGCACCCTTAAGTTATGGACCCTGTTCTCCATCCTTGAAAGACGGGGGGATTCTTCTTCTCCCCAGGGAATTACACAGCCAAGCACAATCCAGACGATGCTGATGCTCACAGCGCACCATGATGGGTCAAAGAGGACACCCAGGACGTGATGGCTTGGTCTGATGATGCAAGTCTAGGGCATGGATCATGGATCCAGGTGGAACCATCAAGCAGATCCCTTGTCCAAAGGACCTTGAAAGCGTTGGTGTTGGTCTCTCGAGGAGCACACTCACTCTCCCCATCTCCAATGGCGCAATGGTCAGGCGGCTCTGTGCCCACCTTAGGACAACCTGAGGGCTGGTAGATCCTTGTGGTCCTCATGGCAAGTATTTGTAACATAGACTCCCGATAAATGGGAGGTTTGGGATTAGGACCATGGTTTCTACCCCATCAGACAATGGATCCTGTTTCTAAAGATGGACAGAGATGGGCTGAAGCCCAAGGAATGTGGTGCCTCTCCAACATCCCTCATCATCCCCAGCACAATGGTTTTCCTGAAGGGACTGCTTAAAACTCAACTGTGAGTTGGCTCTTGGACCTGGGAGCCCCAAACCTCAACCACCTGTATGATGGTTATCTTGATGGTAGGGTCACTGCTTTCGCCAACTGGTAGACTATGATGGTCTTCATTGGCTGATCTGGACAGCTTTTGATGACAACTGTGGTGGAACCTGGACTTCAGGTATAAATGATCATAGGATCGTCGAATCCCAGCCTTGTTTGTGTTGGAAGGGATCTTAAAGCTCATCCAGTTCCAACCCCCTGCCACAGGCAGGGACACCTTCCACTAGAGGAGCTTGCTCCAAGCCCCTGTGCCCAACCTGGCCTTGAACACTGCCAGGGATGGGGCAGCCACAGCTTCTCTGAGCACCGCTCCATAGTAAAGAATGAGGACTATCAGTTGCCTGCTGGGTGAACCATCCCGGCTCATCTCCACAAGAAGACCATTCTCCTTCCAAACACCTCCTTGCAGCTCCACACGGGAGGTAGGCAGCTGTCGGAGAAATGAGCATCTCCTTCCCCAGCAGTGGGCAGTGAAACCATCTGTTGTTACTCAGGTTGTCTCCCCCAGATCCTTGGTCTGACCTTATCCCTCATCCTCCTCCTTGGCAATGAGCCTGGAGCCGAAACCAATGTGTGGGCCACCAGGAGCACCCGAAGGAGAGGAGTTTGAGGGAAAACTCCTTTGATTTCCTTGCCCTCTCGTGATCGTTGTTGTATACTGATCAGATCACATCCAGTGATGACAATCATGCTCCTGCCTTCTCCTGATTCAATCAGGCCATCAACCCGTCAGGCACCAGCACAGGTTATCCAAGGAAGCTGTGAATGCTCCATCCCTGGCAGTGATGGATAAATATATAGTGTATGCTATATACTATCTACTATGTAATATATAACATATAATAAAAATACAACTACTGCGTATGTTCTATGCAATATAAAAAGACCAAGATTCTAATTTCTGCCTGAAACACACAACAAATTATTATCGTGTATTTTTGGCAGCGTTGCATCCACTTACATCACCAGCTGCAATTATCCAGTGACTTATAATCTGATGATATTGGCTTTATTCTTGGTTTTGTATATACACATATATATGTATCCACTTGCTTTCCTAGTGCTAATTTTGTAGTGACTTGCAGTAGAGATGTGACATTATTATTTTCTACTCTATTCTATTTGAATTCCACCATTATATTATATATTATAATACATTATTACATTATATTATATTATATTATATTATAATGTTACATTATGCTATGTTACATTATATTATACATTCTATCTCATTATATTACATCTTTTACATTGTAATATCATATCCTCAATATGTTATTTTGCATACAGTGTGAAAATATCAATATAATACTTTTTGTATGTACCATGCAACGGGTTGTTGCTGTACAGTTCTGTAATTAATGCCACCAGTTTGAATTACCTAATAACTTGCAATATATATTTATTCTCTATCTCTAGGTCTATATCTATATCTACATCTTTATCTATATATCTACATGTATCTTTATCTCTCTATATATATTTGTATCTATATATCTATACCTATATCTATATGTCTATATACACACACTTGCTTTCCTGGGGTAATTTTGCACTGACTTTAGTAGACAGATGTGATACTATTCTGCTCTGTTCTGATCTAATTTTAGAGCATATAAATGTATATTTTATACCCTAAGAATATAAGTATTTTCTGTTATGTGTTCAATATGAAAATCGAAATATTCTGCTGTTGTATGTAATATAAATCAGATTGGTGCTGTATGTTTTTGGAAGTGTTGTATCCACTTACATCACCAGCTGCAATTACCTAATAACTTGTAATACATTCATATTTACTTCATTCTTGTTATATCTGTATAGATTAAATATAGATATATTTATAGATTAAAATTAAATCTAAATATTTATTACATTAAATGTTAAATATATATAAGATATAAATGGCCACATTTATATCTTCTTATCGATATATTTATGCATGTATCTGTATCTCCTTGCTTTCCTAGAGGTCATTTTGGGGTTATCTGTAATAAAGGTGTGATTTATTCTGTTCTGCTCTTATGTGTCCCATTTATTCTGTCAGAGTCTAGTCTCATATCGTATCGATTACGTTGTATTAGGTGATGTGACGTACTATGATGACGTCATGTGACGTAACGTGACGTGTCTCTCCCGTCACGGACACACTGGAGCGGTCACCCCCGGCCGCGGGCAGCAGTAGGCGGGTCTCACCCGTGGTGGGCGGGGCAAGGACGGGGTGGGGTCCGGGCCGTATATGTGGGCGTGGCCTATGGTGAGAGGGGCGGGGCTTTGTAATGATGGGGCGTGGCCTCGGGGGGTTCGGACTGCGCCTGTGGGCGTGGTTCAATCTTGCGAGAGGCGGGGCTTGGCCGTGGAGGGGCGGGCCCGGGCGGTGGCTGTGGGCGGGTCCTGTGCATGAAGGGGCGGGGCCGGACGGTGGCGCCGCCGCGGCTCTGGGGGCTCAGCGCGACGCCGGAGAGCGGGCGCGTCCGGACACCACGGTGAGGGGCGGGGGCGGGAGCGGTTCCGCGTGTGCCCCCCCCCGCCCGGCTCCGCTCCCCAGCCGTGACGGGAGCTGCCGGACCCCAGAGCATCCCTGGGGCGGGAGCTGCTGCCCACTGCCCGGCCCTGTACCGCCCTATAGATACCCCAGACCCACCCCTATAGACCTGCCCCAGACCCACCCCTATAGACCTGCCCCAGACCTGCGCTATAGCTGCCCCAGCTCCTGCTATCTGACTGTCACAGACCTTCCCCTATATGTACCCCATAGACCCTGCCCTTTGTGTACCTCAGACCCTTCTCTATAGCTGCTGTAGCGTCTGCCCTGTAGGTATACCAGACCCTCCCCTATAAATACCTCATCCCCTGCCCATTAGCTGCCCCAGTCCCTGTCCTATATGTACCCCAGACCCTGCCCTATAACTATCCCAGACCCTGCTCTCCAGCTGCCCCAGACCCTGCTCTACAAGCACCTCCCCTGCCTTCCCCAGCCGTACCCTGCCCCTGCCTGCCCCAGCAGGTCCCCCCTCCACCATGGGGATCTGATTTCGGGGTGTCCCATTGATGGGGGTGATACATTCGGTTTCTCAGGTGGTGGGTCCGGATGCCGGCAGGATGGTGCTGGTCCCCATCGTGGTGCTCTGGGCCCTGGCTGCTGCAGGTACCCCCGAGCAGTGGGGTAGGGGGTCCAGGACAGAGCCCTCCCATCACCCCTCCCTGAGGACCCCCATATGTGGGCACGATGGAGTCCCAGGGGCAGGGGCGAGGCGGCCGCAGGCAGGGGAGCCGTTCCCTGCATGGTGGTGACTCATGGGGCGGCTCTTGGCATCCCCGGGCTCTCGGCCTTGGCAGGAGCCGCTGCTCAGCCCTATGTGCCAGCACCTGGCTTTAATGGGTCCCCTGTCCCAGCCCAGTGCCAGGACCCAGGATCCAATGTGTCCTGCTATCCTATGGGGTGTCCAGCTCCATCCCACCCCTATATCCCCATATCTGGGCTCCTGGTGGTACTGGAGCATGGGATGGGTGACCCCACTGTGTCCCCCCAACCCTGTGCCAGGACCCAGCATCAATGTTGCCCCTGTGCCAGCACCAAGGATCCAACAGGGTCCCCCGTGTCCCACTATCCCATGGGGTGTCTTGCTACATCCCACCCCTAAATGCCCATCCCTGGAGCATGGTGATCCCACTGTGTCCCTCCAGTCCTGTGTCAGCACCCAGGATCTAACAGGGACACCTCTATCTCACTATCCCATGGGGTATCTGGCTCTATCCCACCCCATATCCCCATCCCAGGGCTCCTGGTTGACTGGATCATGGGATGTGTGACCCCACTGTGTTCCCCCACCCCACAGACCAGCCCCCCGTCACCATCACCGCGTCCATCGGGGATGACGCCTGCCTGCCCTGCAGCACCCAGCCTTGGGGTCACCTGCGGGGGGTCACCCTCAGCTGCACCCACCACAATGGGACCCACCAACCCATTCCCGTCCTCCGGCACCGCCTGGGCTGGCTCCCACCGGAGCCGGGCTGGAGCCCACCAGAGGAGCCCGACAACCGCTTTAGGGGCCGGGTGTCCTTCTGCGCCGGGGGGCCGGAGGGCGCCGGCCTGGCCCTGCTCCTGAGGAACCTCAGCGATCCCGACTTCGGGAATTACTCCTGCTACGTGGCCGGTGCTGCCCCCCCGCAGCTCCTCTGCAGCCTGGTCCTGCAGCCCACGGCGGGCGGTGAGTGGGGCTGGTGATGGGGAGGCGAGGGGGCAGCACACGGAGCAGCCGCTGGGTGGGATCTGCACTTTGGGGGTACCACAGGCTGGGGGGTCCCATCCTGTCCCTGTGATGCTCCGCAGAGGTGCCCAGGGGCGCGGAGCCGGACATGATCACGGTGGTGTGCGTCCTCGTGGCTGCCTTCACGGCGGTGGCCATCGGGGTGGTGATGTGCTGCCGCTGCGGGTGCTGCGGGAGGCGAGGTGGGTGCTGCGGCGGGGGGGTGTGTGGTGTGGTGTGTGTGTGTCCATTGGGGACATCCCGTTTGGTTGGCGTGGGATTTGGGGAAGGGGGAGTGGTCTGATCCTGGATGCTTGGTGAAGGTAGAGCTGGGATGGGGAGGAGACGGGGATGGGGTTGGGATGGAATGGGGACAGATTAGAATGGGAACAGGGTCGGGATTGGGATGGGATTGGAATAGGGACTGGGGCGGGATGGGATGAGGACAGAGATGGGGACGGGATTTGGATGGGGATGAGACTGGGATGGGGATGGGCTGCAATATGAATGGGAACAGGATAGGGATGGGTATGGGGACAGGCTGAGATGGGGACAGGGATGGGGAAGGGATTAGGATATTGATGAGACTGGGATGGGGATGGAAGCAGGCTGGGATTTGGATGGGGACAGGATGGGGATGAGATTGGCATGGGGACGGACCTGTGATAGGGATGGGAATGGGATGGGTTTGGGAGGGGGACAGGATGGGAATGGGATGGGATTGGGATGGGGACAGGATGGGAATGGAGATGGGCTCGGTGGAGATGGGATGGGGATGGGCTGGGATAGGAATGAGATGGGGATGTGGATAGGGACGGGAATGGGGACAAGGATGGGAACAGGATGGGATTAGGAATGGGAACTGGGATGGGGATGGAAACAGGACAGGGATGTGGGTGGGAGCAGCTCTGCGTGGGGCACCCATGAGTGGCACATGGGGGTCCCACGGTCCCGTCTCACCATCACCCCCATCGCGGGTGGGCGGAGCAGGAGGAGGAGGAGCAGGAGCAGGAGCAGCACCGGTGGCTCTGGGTGACATGAAAAGTTCCAGTGTCTGAGGCCACCCCAGCCCCAGCAGCTCCGGTGTGCCCAGGACAGCATGCGGCCCCGGCTCCTTCAATAGGATCTGGGGGGACAAGGACCCTGGGTGGGGGGCAGGATGGGTGCTGGGGGTGTGGAGGGGCAGTCCCCAAATAAAGCCATTGCTCTGGAGAGGGAGATGACCCCTCCTTACCGGGGCACCCCTGCCTGCACCCCACATTCCAGCAGGGTATAGGGGTCCGGGAGCAGGGATGGGGAAAGGGGGAGCTGGGGTCGGGAAGGGCTGTGAGGGTCCCGGGGGGTGGGGATGGGACACGGGGGTCCGGGGGGACATGGGGGGTCTCGGTGCTGGGAAGGAATGTGGGGGTCCCGGTTGACGGGGGTGTCCCCAAGCTCCCCCGAAACCCCGCGCCCGCCGAGCCGCGCTGACGACGGCGGGAAGGGATGGCCACGCCCATGTCCCCGCCCCATCCAATCACATCCTGATCACGGCCCCTGGTCACGCCCCCTCTGCCTTGGCCACGCCCCCGTCCTTGCCCGTGTCCCGCAGCGCGGTGGCGGCAGCGGGGCGTTTCTGTCCGTGAGCCCCCGTGTCCCCTCTCGGTCCCGGCCCTATCCCGGTCCCGGCCCACCCCCGCAGCCGGTCCCTCCCTCCCGCAGCGGGGTGCACAGACCCGTCCGTTCAGCGGCGCAGCAGCGCCCGCCCCTGGGCACACACGTGTGCAGGCACACGCATGGACAGGCACACACGTGTGTCCAGGCGCTCCCTGCCCCACGGCCAGCCAGCTCCCGGCTTCCCGGGCACGGGGATGTACGGGTCTGACGGGTGGACACAGAGTCATAGAAACACAGAATCAGCCAGGTGGGAAAAGCCCTTTAAGCTCATCCAGCCCAACCGTTCCCAGCACTGCCAAGGCCACCACTAACCCATGGCACTGAGGCCTCGTCTCCACGGTGTGTGAACACTTGCAGGGACGGTGACTGCAGCCCTGCCCTGGGCAGCCTGTTCCAATGCCTGAGCACCCTCTGGGGAAGGAATTGTTCCTCAGCTCCATCTAAACCTGCCCTGGTGCAGCTTGAGGCCGTTTCCTCTTGTCCCATCCCTTGTTCCTTGGGAGCGGAGATCTAGATCTGATGGATGGACACAGAGATCTGGTGGGTGGACACATAAATACAATGGGTAGACACACAGATCTGCTGAGGGGTACACAGATATCACATGTGGAGGTACAGGTCTGATGGATGAACGGATAGATGTGATGAGAGGACAGTGCCTCCTTGTGCCAACACAGGCACCTTCATCTTCCTCACAGGGGCAGAACCAGTGCTGTGAGGACCAGGGTACGTTCAGCCCCACCAGGACCTCATGGGCTGCCCGAGGTGGCTCTTTGGAGACCCACAGCCATCACTCATGGCATTCTGGGGCCATGGGGGGGTTCTTCCATCAGCATTCATAGCAAACACCTCCTGGGGTGGTGGGGCCAGGGAGTGGCTCCCTGGTGACATGTGGTGGATGCCATCACTGGTGGCCTTGGTGACCCTAAGAGCAAGAAGAGGGGTTTTGGTTTCAGTTCCTCTGCCCCAAGCTCTGTCCTTCCTCTGGGAAGGGCCATGATGGCACCAGCGGCTGCTCCTTGGGGATTTCCAGCCCTAATAAACCCTGGGGGAGAAGAGTAACAGTAATAGATAGGATAGTAAATAGGATAATAGATAACAATGTGAGGGGACTCTCCCCTAGGCAAAGAGGACCCGCCCCATGTGCCTCGGGGATAGGGCAACGGGTGTGTGTGTGTGGTGTGTGACACAGCAGACACACCAAATTAAGGGAAATGGGAAGAAAACCACCAAAACTTCCCATTTTAAACTCAGCTCATAGATTTTAGCAGCAGGGAGAGGAAGTGCCAGGCTTTGGCCTCCAAATCCCCCATATCTGTGAGGTCACTGGGACAGAGCATCAGCACTGTTGGGTTTGGGGTGATTTCTGCAAATCCGGGGTCAGAGGCTCGGCTTTGCCCTTTCAGGGAACTCCCAAATCTCCCCATCTGGGTGCGTTTCAGGACTGAAGGATCTCCTGCACCCCAGCTGTCCCCTTGTGTCCCCCTGAGGGCTGTCACAAAGCCATCCTGCCAGGACGGGGGTCTCTGGGGCAGGGACAGCATGATTCGGGCGGTTTTGGGGCTGCGGGATCAGCCAGGAGGGATTCAGCTTGTCAGTCAGCAATGATGGACAAACAGGGTGCGCTGGCCCTTTAAGGCGGAGGTGCGCTGGCCCTTTAACCCGTGAACAGGTGCGGCGGGGGTCTGTGTGTGAGTACCCGGCGGCAGCTGAGCGACGGAGCGAAGAACCAATAGGACAGCAGAATAGGCTGGACGGACCAATGAGCGGAGCGGCCGAAGGAGGAGGCGGGCCCTGGTGCTCCCCAGCGCTGCGAGGTCTGTAGGCTAGGGGACTGGTTCGGTTTCGTTCGGCTCCTTTCGGTTCCGTTCGCTCCGCTCCGTTCGGCCTAGTTCGGCTCCGTTCGGCTCGGCTCGGTTCCGTTCGGCCCGGTTCGGCTCCCCTCGGCTCGGCCATGGAGAGTCCGGAGGCGGGGGCCACGGTGTCCCCCGAGGAGGATTTCTCCTTCGTGAGCCCCATAGTGAAGTTCGTGCTCTTCTTCTTCAACATGCTCTTCTGGGTGAGTGACACCGGGGTCCCCCATACCAGGGGGGTGTCACCGGGGGCCCCCCATACTGAGGTACCCACCAGGAACCCCCATCTCGGGGGCTCACCAAGGACCCTCACCCTTAAGGCTGTCCCAATTACTGCACCCCATGGGACACCCCCATCCCAGGATTCCCCCCATCCCACGACTCTCTTTATCACTGGGGCTATGCGGGGGTCGGCTCGGCTGGGTCCCCCCACCCCACAAGGGCTTTTGGGGTACCTTATGCTCATGCTGTCACCCATGGGTGCCCCCCGTGGAAGACACCCCCCCAAACCTGTTGCTTTCTGCACCCTTTGGGGTGCCACAGCCCTTTTGAGGGTGTCCCCCATCCAAAACAGGGCCACTGGGGTGAGTGGCTGTCACCCATTAGGTGCCATCGACACCCAAACCACATCTCTTGGGCACCTTTGGGCCCCCCATGAGCAATTTGACATGTTGGGGGGGGTGTGAGTTTATACATTATTTTTTCTTTTATATTTTGGGGGTATTTTTTAATGTTTTAATGGTTGTTTTTATAGTTTTGGTTTTTTTTTGGAAGTGGGGACTTTCTGGAGGGGTGTTTCCGTGTTTCAGATCCCATCTTTGAGGAAGCTTCTTGCTTCCGACAAGCCACATCCCTGTGTTGGGCTCTGTGTCCCCTCCCCAGCCAGCTCCATATGGGGTATACAAGGGGAGACTGAGGCAGCAGGTCTGACCGTGAGGGCCCACTTCCAGCCCTGAATCCATGGGGATGGCAGCCAGTGGTGCCCACCCATGGTCTTGCTCTGCAGGTGATCTCCATGGTGATGGTGGCAGTGGGGGTCTATGCCTGGCTGCTGAAGCACGCAGGTGAGGTTGGGGGGCTCGGGGGGACACAACACTGAGGCTCCTCAGTGCCCCCCCTGCTCTGGTGGGGGTGTTGGAGTGCCGGTGGTGATGGCTCACCATGGCAGAGGCGACCATGGCGTGCCTGGTGGTGGACCCCGCCATCCTCCTCATCGTGGTCGGTGTCCTCACCTTCCTCATTGCCTTCTGTGGCTGCATTGGCTCCTTACGGGAGAACATCGTCCTGCTGCAGGCGGTGAGTCCATGGGCACGTGGGGACCTCCCCTGGGCCACCCCACGAGACTGGGGCCACTTTGTTGTGATCCTCCCTGGCCATCACACTCCTCTCGCCCGCAGTTCTCCATCTGCCTGGCCATCATCTTCTTCCTGCAGCTGGTCGCTGGCGTGCTGGGCTTTGTCTTCTCCGATAAGGTGACTGCTGGAGGGGTCAGGGGCTGAGGGACCCCAAGCCTGTCCCATTGGGTGGTGGCATCACTGATGTCCCTGTTGCAGGCACGCGGGAAGGTCAGTGAGATCATCAATGGTGCCATCGTGCACTACCGGGATGACCTGGACCTGCAGAACCTCATTGACTTTGGGCAGAAGGAGGTGCGCGGTGTGGATCTCGTGGCTCAGGCTGAAATCCATGAGGTCAGGGATGTCAAGTGACTTCTCTGTGGGGATTTGGGGTCATGGTGAAGCCCCGTGTCCTCTCTCCGTCACAGTTCAGCTGCTGTGGGGGTATCTCCTACAAGGACTGGTCCCAGAACATGTACTTCAACTGCACCACGGACAACCCCAGCCGGGAACGCTGCTCTGTCCCCTTCTCCTGCTGCCTGCCGGATGACGACGAGGTGAGGCTGGTGTCCTCCTGGGAGATCTGCTCCTCCTCTTCCATTCTGTGGATGGGGGCAGAGCTCCCAGAAGAGGCAGGGACGCCCCAGTCCAGCCGGGTGCGGTTTTTGTCCCCAGGTTGTCATCAACACCATGTGTGGACATGGCATACAGGCCATGGGCTATGTGGAGGCCAGCGCTGTCATCTACACCCATGGCTGCATCGACAGCTTGGTCAACTGGATCAACAGGAACCTCTTCCTGCTGGGGGGCATTGCGCTGGGGCTGGCAGCCCCACAGGTAACGGGGGGGGGGGGGGCATTTGGGAGATACCTTAATGATGTGTCACACTGCAGCCCCAGGGGAGGCAGGGTTTGGGGTGGTGGGATGTTGTCCTTGCCAGGAGCCATGTCACCCACTTGTAGGACAGTGGGGTGATATCCTCCTGTTGTACCCCGTCATCTTCTTCCTCTCCCTCATCCACAGCTGGTGGGCATCCTGCTGGCTCAGATCCTCATCAGCCAGATCAGAGACCAGATCAAACTGCAGCTCTACAACCAGCAGCACCGGGCAGACCCCTTGTACTGATCCCAGTGCATTGCAGCGTCTGTCCCTGCCAGGACATCCAAACCCTGGATCCATAGGAAGAGCTGAAGGGACTGTGCTGGAGAAGAGGAAGGCTGGAGCTATGGATGCTGGATCTGTGCACTGTGGCCGGGCTTAGCTGGGACATACCAAGCTGCTGTGCCCTGTTTGGGGGACCAAACTGCTGTCTCTCTGTCTGTCCTGGGGGACTCCAAGCTGGTGTGCATATTGTGCTTGAAGCACTGGGATGTGCTTCCCATCTCCGATGCCCTCGTGGAGATGGGCATTTGTCTGTCAGTCCGTCCATGCCCTGAGCTGCCTTTATCCGGGCCACTTCTGGCTCCAGAACTGGGTAAGTTCTTCCAATCACTGGTGCCACAAACCCCATTGGCATCCTGCGGGTGACCCATGAGACAGTTGAGGGCTTTGCTTGCTGGCTGGGAGCAGGAGCCATCAGCAGTGTGTCTACCTGGAAGAAAGAGGAAGAGGAGGGTGTCCTGCCCAGTGCTGACCCATGGGTGCTTCCTTAGCCCAGGGCTGGGGTCCCATGTCTGCCCCCAGGAGGGCTCAAACACCTCCATGGGGTGCTGAACCCCTTGTGGAAGGGGGAATAAAGAGATGAGGCTGGGCCCTGTGGTCCTGTGCGGCTCTGTGTGGTGGTGACAGGACAATGGCGGGGGGGGACGGCGGGACGGCACTGGGGGACAAGGTCCTTCCTATGCAGCACCCCCATCACCTCAGTAGCGTTATGGCTGCAGCACCTCAAAAAGAAGGGGGATGAAGGGGACAAGGGGCAGCACAGCCAGGGAGAAGACATCAGAGAACCCTCTGCTGCTCGTTGGAGCCGTCACAAACTCTGTGAGGAGGGTTTGCCTGTTTAGTTCTTTTCCTCCTCCTCGGGCTGGGTGGTCCTGTCACGGGGGGAGTCGGGATATTGGGATGCGGCCGGGAGCTGCCAAGTGCTGGCTCCCGCCTGTCCCTGATCCCCTCTGCCATCCCCTGTCCGGGTGCTGCAGGAAAACTATCCCAAACTCTGCCCCTGGATGATGTTCCCCCCCAAAAAAGGGGGTTTTCACCCCAAAGAGCACCTTCTAAAAGGTGCCCCCCCCAGCAACTTCTCTCCCCAAAAAGCAGTTGTTCTCCCCCCACCCAAAAGCCACTTCACCCTGTACCAAATGTGACTTGGCACCCAAAAGAGCAATTTCACCCCCAAAAGTGATCACTTCTCTGAAGGACAACCCCTCCAAAGAGTGTGGAGGTTTCTTCCCCCCAAAAAGTGACTTCTGCCCAAAACAGTGAGTTCTCACCAAAAAGTAGCTGCTCTCCAAGAATGGTCCCCCTCCCAACTTACTTTTGTCTCCAGAAAGGGACTTTTCTCCCCCAAAAGCAGCTCTGCTCTCCCCAAGAGGGACTTTTGTCACTAGAAAGGAACTTTTCTCCCCCCCCCAGAAGTTGCTTTTATCAACAAAAAAGTGACTTTTCCTTCCCCAAAAATAACTTGTCTCCATCCCCAAATAGTTTCCTCCCCCTAAAAGGGACTTCTCTCCCAAACATGCAACTTCTTTCCCCCACAAAAGTGGCTTTTATTTCCCAAGGTAACTTTCCCCGCCCCCCAAAACTTTGCTCCCCCTCCAAAAAGGATGTTTGTCCCCCAAAAGCAACTTTTCTCCTCCTGAAAGTGGCTTTTCTTCACCCCAAAATGACTTTTCCTCTCCCAAAAGTAACTTCCCCCTCAAAACCAAGTGTCTTTTCTCCCTGAAAAAGCAATTTTTGTCCCTCAAAAGTGACTTTTCTTCCCCTAAAAGTAACTTTCCTGCCCTCAAAAGGGACTTTCCATCCCCAAACTGCCTTTTGTCCCCCAAAAGTAACTTTTGTCCCCCAAAACCAACTTTTCCCTCTGCAATAGTGACTCTTATCCCCCAAAATGTGATTTTTCTTCCCTTAAAAGTAGCTTCCTCCCCTCCAAGTAACTTTTCTCACCCAAGAGTGTCTTCTCTCCCAATAAAGCACCTTTTGTCCCCTAAACCTGACTTTTCTCCCCTCCCAAACGCAACTTTTCCACTCCAAAAAGCGATTTTTCTTCCCCAAAAGGAACCTTCTTCCCAAAAAGGTACTTTTTTGAATAAAAAGAAACTTTTCTCACCCCCAAAAAGGACCTTTTGTTCCCTAAAAAGCAACTTTCGTCCCCCAAAAGTGGCTTTTCTCCCACCAAAGTAACTTCCCAATCCCAAATGCAGTTTTTGTCCTCTAAGCAGCAGCTATTCCTCCTCAAAAGTAACATTCAACCCTCCCCAAAAAGTTACTTTTTGCCCCAAAAAGAAACTTTTCTCACCTAATAAAGCACCTTTTGTTCCCCAAAAGCTACTTTTGTCCCCAAAAGTTGACTTTTCACCCCCAAAGTGCTTTTTCTCCTTCAAAAAACCACCTTTTCTTCCACAAAAGCAACTCTCCCCCTGAAAAAAAGTGAGCTTCCCCTTCCCAAATCTAACTTTCCTCCCCTAGAAGTGACTTCTCTCCCTTGAAAACAACTTTTCTCCTCTGGAAAAGTGACTTTTCTGCCCCAGAAAGCAACTTTACCCCCTAAAAGTAACTTTTTTTGTCTCCAAAACAACTTTTATCCCCCTAGAAAAGCAATTTTCCCCCTCAAAATCAGCTCCCCTGTCCCAAATCTTTCCTCTCTCAAAACTAAACCCTTCTCCTCCAATCCCAAACTCCTCCCCTTCCAAAGCCGCTCTTCCTCTCCCCAAAGCGCCTTCTCCCTCCCCAAAAACGAGCTTTTCCCTCACAAAACCCAATATTTACCCCTCAGAACCCCACTTTCCCCTCCCAAAACCCCATCATTTCCCCTCCCCAAACCCAACATTTCCCCTCAAAAACCCACTTCCCCATCACAAATCTCCACTTTCCACTCACAAACCCCAACATTTCCCCCTCAAACCCCAACTTTCCCTCACAAACCCCCACATTTCCCCCTCCAAACCCCACTTTTCCCTCACAAACCCCATCCTTTATCCCTCAAACCCCACTTTCCCCTCACAAACCCCATCCTTTATCCCTCAAGCCCCAACTTTCCCCCCTCAGGAGACCACCCCTTTCCCTTCTCCCCGAGCGCGACCCCCCGCCTCAAACTCCACTTTCCTCCCCAAAACCCCTCCCCTTCCCTGTCCGCTGCAAGAAAAAGTAACTTTTTCCTCACAAAAAGGCACTTTTTTCCCTCACAAACACCCGGTCCCCGCCCCGCTCTCCTCAGCCCGCCCCGGCGGGGGGCGCGGGGCCGTGGCGGGCCGGGCCGCGCTACGCTGAGGGGGAAGAAGAAGAAGAAGGAGGAGGAGGAGGAGCGGGGCCGCTCCGCTCCCCTCCCGGCGAGCTCAACAAAGGGCGGCGGGGCATGGCGGGCGGCGGGGTCGCGTAGCGCCGGTGCGGGCCGGGATGGCGGCGCAGGGCGGCGGGTGGCGGTGGGCGCTGGCGCTGGGCATGGCGCTGGCCCTGGGCGGCCGCCGCTGCCCCGCCGCCCCGCTCCTCAACGCTTCGGCCGTGCCCGAGCGCTGCCGCCGCGCCGCGTCCTGCGAGCAGCTGCGGTTCGGCTCCTGCCTGGGCTCGGCGCTGCCCTACGCCGCCACCTCCACGTTGTTGGCCACGGACTCGGCTTCGCAGGAGGAGGCGCACGGGAAGCTCCTGCTCTGGTCCGGTACGGGACGCACCGGGGCGAGGCCCGCGCCGGGCCGGGCGCTGGCGGGGAGCGGGGGCTGCGGGCGGGTAAAGGGGAGCCCGGAGCGCTGTGGAGGAGCGCAGGGGGTGGAATGCGGTGCAGGGAAGCACAGCAGGGGCATGGGGAGGGGGCTGTACGGAGCGGGATTGGGATAGGGATAGGTGCAGCATAGGAAACTCGGTAACGGGGGCCTGGAGATGGGGACAGTGTAGAGGGGAGCTGTATAATGGGGGATAGTATAGAGAGGGAGCAGTAGAGATAGCTGTATAGTAGGGAATTGGGGATGGGGACAGTACAGAGGGGAGCTGTATAGTGGGAGATGAGATATGAGTATCTTACAGAAGGCTGTATGGACTGGGCTGGAGATGGGTGCAGTGTGCAGAGGGAGCAGTATAGCAGGGGACGGGATGGGTGCAATACAGATAGCTGTATAGCAGGGAATTGGGGATGGGGACAGTACAGAGGGGAGCTGTATAGTGGGAGATAGGGGACGAGTGTCTTACAGGAGGCTGTATGGATGGGGCTGGAGATGGGTGCAGCGTAGAGAGGAGCAGTATAGTGGGGAGCAGTCTAGGAAGGTGTATAGAAAGGGACTAGAGATGGTACAGTGTAAACGGGAGCAGTATAGCAGGGGACTGGGGGACACATACAGTATGGAAAGTTCTATAGCAGGGCACAGGGGATGGGTGCAGTACAGATAGCTGTATAGCAGGGGGTTGGGGATGGGACAGTATAGAAGGGAGCAATGTGTAATGGTGGATAAGGGATGAGTATGGTATAGAAAGGTGTGTGGAAAGGGACTGCAGCTGGGTACGGAGTAGAGGGGAGCAGTATAGCAGGGTATGATACAGAAAACTAATAGGGGACAGAGATGGGACAAAGATGGGTGCAGTATGGGGGGAGTAGTATAGCAGGGGATTGGGGATGAGTACAATATAGGAAACTATAGTAAGGGCAAAAGATGGGTACAGTGTAGAGAAGAGCTGTATAGTGGCGGATTTGGGATGGGTACAGTATAGAAATCTGTATAGCAGGGTTATGGAGATGGGTACAGTGTAGACAGGGGCAGTATAGTAGGGGTCTGAGCTGGGTACAATATAGAGAAGGAGCAGTATAGCAGGGGACAGGGCATGAGTATGACAGAAAGCTGTATAAAATGGGCCTGGGGGTGGGTACAGTGTAGAGAGGAGCAGTACAGCGGGGGACTGTGGATAGGTACAGTACAGAGGGGAGTAGTATAGTGGGGAACAGGGGATGGGGTATAGCATATAAGAGAGCAGTATAGCAGGGAACTAGGTACAGTATAGAGGAGCAGCATAGCAGAGGACTGGGCACAGTATAGAGGGTAAGGGGACTGGGGATGGGCACAGTCATGGGGACAGTATGGAGGGGAGCAGTATAATGGGGGACCATGAAGGGGTACTGTACATATACCTGTACAGCAATGGGCCGGGGATGGGTACAGTATGGAGGGCAGCAGTAGAGCAGGGACTGCGGCTGAGTCCATGTGGCAGGGGAACAGCACCCCAGAGGTACCATAGAGGGGTCCTGGTGCTGAGCTGATGGGTGCATGGTGGGGCCTGCCCCATCCCATCCCCATGTGTGGGGCCACAGCAGCCATGTCCATGCAGGGTGGTGACAGCGTTGTCCCCACAGGCCTGCGTAACGCCCCGCGCTGCTGGGACGTCATCCAGCCCCTGCTCTGTGCTGTCTACATGCCCAAGTGCGAGGACGGGCAGGTGGAGCTGCCCAGCCAGACCCTGTGCCAGGCCACCCGGGCACCATGCACCATCGTGGAGCGTGAGCGTGGATGGCCAGACTTCCTCAAGTGCACCACAGACCGCTTCCCTGAGGGATGCCCGGTACGGGGGGACACCACGGGCTCCATGTCCCATTTAGTGACAGACCTGAACGTGAGCTTGTGCTCAGGCGGCCAAGGAGCCACCAGTATCCTGGCCTGTACCAGCACCAGTGTGGCAGTAGGGCTAGGGCAGTGACTGTGCCCCTGCACTGGGCACTGGTGAGGCTGCACCTTGAATCCTGTGTTCAGTTCTGGGCCCTTCACTGCAAGAGAGACATTGAGGTGCTGGAGTGGGGCCAGAGAAGGGCAATGGAGCTGGTGCAGAGCCTGGAGCACAAATGTGATGGGCAAGGGTTGAGGGACCTGGGGGGTTCAGTCTGGAGAAGAGAAGGCTCAGGGGGGACCTGATGGCTCCCTCCAACTGCCTGAGAGGAGGATGGAGCCAGGAGGGGCTGGGCTCTGCTCCCAAGGAACAAGGGATGGGACAAGAGGAAACGGCCTCAAGCTGCACCAGGGCAGGTTTAGATGGAGCTGAGGAACAATTCCTTCCCCAGAGGGTGCTCAGGCATTGGAACAGGCTGCCCAGGGCAGGGCTGCAGTCACTGTCCCTGCAAGTGTTCACACAGCGTGGAGACGAGGCCTCAGTGCTATGGGTTAGTGGTGGCCTTGGCAGTGCTTTTCCAGCCTGGCTGATTCCATGATTCTCAGGGAGCAGTAGGAGCAGGGAAATGCCATCTGTTCCCAGCCCTCCATGGGGGACTGGTGTCCACACCCTTCACCATGAGGGTGCTGCCTCCTCCTCATGGCCTCACTTCTCCTCCGGCAGAACGAGGTGCAGAACATCAAGTTCAACAGCTCGGGGCAGTGTGAGGCACCGCTGGTGAGGACAGACAACCCCAAGAGCTGGTATGAGGACGTGGAGGGTTGTGGCATCCAGTGCCAAAACCCACTCTTCACAGAGAAGGAGCACCGTGAGATGCACGTCTACATCGCTGCCTTCAGCTCCGTCACCATCTTCTGCACCTTCTTCACCCTGGTGAGACATGGGGGGACATAGGGTGGGGTCCCCAAAAGTGGACCGGGCTCCAAGCTGTCCCTTTGTCCTCCTCCACCAGGCCACATTTGTTGCTGACTGGAGGAACTCCAACCGCTACCCAGCTGTCATCCTCTTCTACATCAACGCCTGCTTCTTCGTGGGCAGCATCGGTTGGTTGGCGCAGTTCATGGATGGGGCCCGTGATGAGATCGTGTGCCGGGCTGATGGCACCATGCGGCTGGGAGAGCCCACGTACGTGTCACCTCCAACCCCATCCCACCACTGCCACGTTCCAGAAGGTCTCCTCTGGCTCCTCCATGCCTCTTGGAAGGGGTGGAGATCTCCTTCCTCCTCCCTGTCCTGTTGTGCAGTTGGTGATGCTCTTGTCTCACCTCATCCATAGCTCCAACGAGACGCTCTCCTGCGTCATCATCTTCGTCATCGTTTACTACTCGCTGATGTCGGGTGTCATCTGGTTTGTCATGCTGACCTACGCCTGGCACACCTCCTTCAAGGCACTGGGCACCACCTACCAGCCGCTGGTGGGCAAGACCTCCTACTTCCACCTCATCACCTGGTCCATCCCCTTCGTCCTCACCGTGGCCATCCTGGCCGTGGCACAGGTACCGGCACTGCGATCCTGTATCCTGGTGGTGACATGCACAGGGAGAGGTGGCCACAGCCACCTCACTCCTTTTGTCCCCATCTCCCCAGGTGGATGGTGACTCTGTCAGTGGCATCTGCTTTGTGGGGTACAAGAACTACCGGTACCGGGCCGGCTTTGTCCTGGCGCCCATTGGGCTTGTCCTTGTCG